AAAAGATTTTTTTATTTTGTTTTATGTGTATGAATGTACACCACTTGCATTCCTAGTGTTCTTGGAGGTCAGAAGAAGGCATCAGATCTCCTAGAGCTGAAGTTAAGATGGTTGTGAGCCACCAGGCGGGTGGCAGGCATCAAACCTGAGTCTTCTGCAAGAGCAACTCATGCCCTGAACCTCGGAACCACCTCTCATCCGATAGAGATTCCTTAGTAGCTCGCATTGCCCACAAACTTTACAGTAAGGATCATGGGTTGCAATATTTATTACAGGGGAAAAATAGCAAGAAGATAAAAATTTGCAATATAAAGGACATGGCAGTAAACTATTGCAGAACAAAAATAGTGACATTGTGTGTCACCCTTAAAATGGTGTAGACAAAGTGTTTGTAGTGGCTTGGGGAAGTACAAAATGTGATAGTTCCCTAACAGTAAGGACATATGTATATTATGTAATTGTGTGCCTGTGTTCCCTGAACACTAGTGGAGGAGGAAGTACCCTGAATATTAGGACATTTACCCAGATTTTCTTTTTCTGCATATTTTGTATTTAGCTCTGCACATATTATTTTTTACTTTCTACTTAAATTATCTATATCCTAACGGGTTTATACTTTATTCTCAAGTTGTTTAGACTTCAAAATTTTTTCCTGCATTCCTTAAACACGTGATATTTTCATAATCAGGATGATTATTTTTAAAGGCATAGGAATAGAAATATAGACAATTGACATGTTTTCCTTTAGTTGTTGGGAATAGATGGCAGGCAGCAGAAATATTCGTTAGGCCAACATATACCCTACAGTGAGTAAATATTATTTGTTCTTCTGTAGAAGAGTCTCGCATTGATAGGTTATCAATCAAATACTTCATGGGGTCCCTAGCCAAACACAGGTGTTTACATAACCAGAGTGTAAAAATCTCAATTAAAATTTTATGTGGACTTAAGGAGAAGTGATTGGTGTCCCCTAAAGTTTAGCATGTAGAGTAAAGGAGCATTCCTTCTTGGGCTCTTGGATAGTGCTTCACTGTGGCTCTGTTTTGTGTTTAAAGTCAATTTAAAGGTGCAGAAATTTTTGGGTAGTGGAGAAGTAAATAAATCCTGGATTCATTATATCAAATGAGAAATGGTGGTCTTTGGGTAGTTTATAATCATCATCTCCTTTAAAAACATATTTTCAGCTTATGTTTTCAAGAACTTCTAAATCTCAAAATTTTTCTTTCACGTATAAGCCCGCTTTGATTTACAACTGAGTCAGTCACACGGCTGGTTTCAAGACAAGAGGCCTAAATTTGTTTGTTTGTTTTTTTTGTTTTTTGTTTTTTTTTTGTCAGTAATGTTGCAGAGCTGATTTTGTGATATGGAGGAAATCTGCCAATGTTTCTAACTAAAGATTTTCTTAGCCTTCAGTCAGGGTCTTCCTTAAAAAAAAGCACAGGTCCTGCTGGATGAAAGAACGGCAAAATTCAGTCACATGCCGAGTCAGGGAAGTGTCAGTGTTCCTTTTGCGTCAAAAGTTTGGTGAAGTTCTCAGGAGTGACCAGTGCACGGGCGGCCACACCAGGGCTGCGGGCTCGCGGTCCTGAGCTCTGGGGGAGCAGAGCCAGCCTCAGTTTCCCCGATGCGCACAGCGAGAGAGCTGAGGCCTGAGAAGGGCCAGTGCCCCTGGGAGGTCCCAGCCGCCGGTCTGCGGTCTGCGCCACCTCCAGGGCGCGACCCTCTAATCCGCTTTAGTCAATATAGTGTGCGCTCTGCTTGGCGGAGCAAACACTGGAACAAAGCAGCGCCCGGCGGCCCGCGACTCCTGACCCCGGGGTCGCGCCCTTTGTTCACCCTCAATGGGGCCGCCCGCCGCCTGGCCCGCGGCTAATTGGGGCGCGTGCAGCCTTCACCGCCCGTGCTCTTGCGCGACTGGCCTGGACCTGGTCACAGTTGGAGACCCCAACCTGGACACTCACACTGGGCACAGACAGGCACCCAGCTCCGGGCACCCACGCGGACCCTGGAGCTTGTGGAAAGCGAAGATAAGACCGAGACCCTGGCACTGACCCTGGCCTCACTCTGGCCTCAGCTCCGGACACTCCTGGACGCGGATCCCAACCTGGACCCTGAACCGTGTCCAGGGCGGACATCTGACCTGAACGTTGACACAGACCCAGTCGGGACCGCTGACTCCATCCACAACAGTCACACAGACACGGAATTCAGACCCAGACCCAGATCAGGGCCACAGACTTAGACCTGGTTCCTGCCGGACAGACACACGAATGCCCGGCCACTCGTCTGATACGCAGTCCCAGCATCCAAGCAGTTCCTAGTCTGACCGTAGGTTATACACTGGGCTGCCTCGGGATTCAGTGCCCAGGACCTGGTGCCTTGCCGCTTGGCTCATGGCTCTGCTGGGAAGAAGCGGTCTTCCCTGCGCTGCGAGCCATGGGGCTGCCTGCAGGAGGCGCGCCAGGCCAAATTCTTTCCATTCAATGGGTGGGTGCTCCCGTGTTCAGCATAAGGGTCCCAAGTAGGCCTTGTGGCCAGGTGGGACGTTGATCCTACTAGGTTTGTCACTTGCCCAGGAATCATTAAGGACCTCAGAGTGTTTTGTTGGCCCCTTTCTGCTCTTCACCGCTGCTTGGAAGTCTGTTCACATAGTAGGAGAAGACAGAATCCTCTATCCAAAAAGGGGAGTCCTCAGGCCCTTCTTTCCCCTCCAGATGATATCTCCAGTGAAGGGTAATGCCGGGCACGCTAGCATTGGACGCCGGGCACGCAACAGGCGCTGAATTCATCTTTGTTCTTCCACCCGTATTGGACAAGGCTATAATTTTTTAATCCCAAGAAGCTTTTAAAACTTAACTTCTCCCGTTTTGAAAATGGGTTTTATCTATTTTTTATAAAAGGCACTTTCTTGTAATTAGGTGCAGAAAGGGAACAAGCAAAGGACTCTTAGAAGCCTTTGCCTTTGAAGACGGCAGAGAGGCCTTCAGCCCCTGGCCCTTCTGGGCAAGGTCCTCTGGCCTGATTCTCAGCTATTTCATTTTGTTGCTAGCTTTAACTATTGCCAGGCTTTGCCAGGAAGACTTTCAAGATGTGGGGTTTGCTTCTGAACGTGTTGTTTGCAGGGTAGCAACTGCCTCGGGGAAGGCCTGGCACTCTGGGGTTGCCAGGGCATGCATCAGCATCGTAAGGATGGCTCTGGGGCAGGGTCCTACAGCAACCAGGAGTGGAGGAGGCAGCTGCATCGTAACGCTGTGTGCACTGTGGCTTGGACGCACCAGTGAATGGAGATAGCTCTTGCATTTGGGTCTCCCATCAGTTAGCTGACTTGCCAAATTATTCTTTTTCCCGGGCCTTCCCCACGCCTTAGTTCCACCCTTTCTGTTTTCTGAGATAGTGATTTGCAGTAGTCCATTGCCTTGGTGGGATGCTGAGGACCCCGAATAACTTCCCTGAGGAGGAAACCTCAGGAACGAGTAATGTGCCACCATGCTGGTCAGAGGGGACCTTCAGATTTTCCCAGCCATTTTCACCAACTGCTCCGATTTTAATACTGAGTCCATGGGGCAAGTATGTGCCATCGTCCCAGAGTGACTGTAAGCGGGCATCGGCTTGGGAACCGCTCTGGTTGCCTGACCAAGAAGGCTCCAGTTTCAGGGTGCCGGCACCTGGAAAATGAGGGCAGACCCCTGGATTCTTCATTCAGGCTTGGTGGCTTCCTTATGCCACAGACTCTCACAGACACAGTGGGGGAGCGTGTGTTTGTGATTTTTATGCTTCACATCTGGTTTTGAAGAGGTGGCCGGGGTGCATGTTTCAGAGAAGAGTGCAAACCTCAGATGACCAAAGCTGGTTTCGGGGCTCGGATGGGGAGGTTGCCTGAACTGAACCAGTTTAAGGCAGTTCTGGCCTGAGATCTCAAAGGAGCTCTGCTTTTTTTTTTTTTTTTCTGGAAATTGCTTTTACCTGTGAAGTAAGCCTCTCTGGGAAGAAATGAATGGTTATGTTTTCCTTAAAAAAAAAAAAAGTGCCCATGTTGTAGAGAGGGTTGGGGGCTTGGGTCTGTGTAATATCAAGCCAAGTTGCTATTCTCCACCTGCTGGGCCTTAGTCTTTCAGGAGGTACGATCATTTTGTTGTTCCTCTCAGATTGGGAGGGTCATATGAGACGTGTTGGAAGCATGTGTAAGTTGTGAAGCACTTACTGTATACATGTGTGATGCTCTCCCTTCTGCCTTCCAAAGCCCCCGCTACAAAGAGGCAATCATTTATTATTAAAATGCTTAGGCAGCTGATATATTCTTGGTGCTTAAGGGATACCAACGTTGTTGTTGACTTGAACCATATCACACCCCTCTGCACTGGCAGCAATAAATGTGTGGACCAAATGTGGGACAGATAGAATCTTAACCTTTTCCTTTAAACATGATAACAAGATGGCCCCAATTTAGGAGACTGGAGTTGGTGGTCCTCTAGGTACCAGCTAGCTCATTTGTCTGTCTAGCCTGGCAGAAGAGTATTGTCTTTGACGGAGCCTCAGCCTGGTCTACCCCTTTGGCTCTATCAGTGTGGCCTTGTGGCCCTTGAGTTTTCAGAGTGACTGGGCCAGGAACCCTCCTCTCATTCATAAAGCATGGCTTTTATTGCGAGGATAGCTCTACTGTATCAGAGATCTGTCTGTTATCTCGGTCACATTTTTCTGGCTTTTGGGTGTTGGCACAGGTGTAATGAGGAAAGGTATAGTATAGCTCAGGAGACCACAGATAGGGCCTACCCTGCACCTGGCCGAGGGCCCTCCAGAGGGACTTCAGATTGGCCCGTGGGTCACAGAGGAAACAGAACTGTTACTGCTGCACATGCACAGGCACGTGCACCCATGCACGCATGTGCGCACACACACACACACACACCAAAATGTTACCTTTATAAATCTAACACTTCGTGTTCTCAGTATTAAAGTTTGAGGCACCAACAGGCTGTCTTAAAAATCTCTCTCAGCCTGTCTGCCTTGGAGCAATTTTATTTATAATTCTTCTTGTCACATCAAAGAACTCTATGTTTCTTGCAGACTGTTTTTGGGGGCTGAGTGCTTTGGTTTTGGCTACAGCCAGTTAATTTCTCTGAATCTGTGGCCCCAAGCATACCGACAGGCTTTTCCCAGCTCATCAAGTTCCCTTCTGAACCTTGGGGTCCTGCTGTAAATTCGGTGCTCAACACAGGCCAGATTTCTAAGTTTGAAATTTTGATTGGGGGAGAAGGAGCCGGCAGTACCTGTGTCCACCTCCTCCCCGAGACAGAAAATACTCGGGACTCGGTTATACTTGGGAGGCAGAACTTTGTTGCCAAATTTAGAATACTGAGTTGAAAAACTGGTTCATGGGTTATGCATTCACAAAGGTGAAAATTCTTTCTATGCGAACTTAATTCCTCGCCTCCATACAACAAGTATAGCCTGCTTGTGTTTCTGGTTATTTCAAAATACATTTTCAAAATCTGTATTTTTCATTAAAATTGTGTATATATATACATATATATGTGTGTGTATTGTACACACACACATACACACACGCACACACACATACACACACACACACACACACACACACACACACACACACACACCTTCCCTCTGCAAGGTCAGTTTCTCTTCTTGTCCAGTGGCCTACACAACTTTGTTTTGGCTAAAGAAAACAAACTTCATATTCTTTTGAAATCAGCAATCTCGTTGAAAGTTGTTCTGTAAATATCCAGAAGCAAAACGAAAGCATCGGTGTTTTTCCTCCTTTGGAAGCTTTCTTTCCAAGCAGTTCAGTGTTCTTTCCTTGAGGTGGGAGTCTTAGTTAAGGTATTTCCTCACTTCTTGCACGAAGGATATGTGTGAAGAACTGGATTTTTAAGTCTGAAGTTAACATTGGATATAATTAGGGAAATGAAGCCATAGGGTAAACTTCAATTTGTGAAATCATATTTGACTTGGAAAATAATAAGAATATTTCAATAAATAAGACCAGTGGTCAAAATCCAAGCACCTTGTAACTAACTCCCTCCCCCAGAATTTCCATGTTCAGGGTGTGCATGATTTGCAGACAGCTAAGTCCTGTCCCAACCCTTTAAAAAAAGTCTGTTAAGTCTTGAGTTTTGAAACAGTTCCTGCAATCACTTGCAATTTAACAATAAGCCATTTAAGTTCTACATCAGCTTCAAACCCCCTTTTACTTTAAAATCTTTACTCCAGAGAGCTTCTAACTTGCCTCAACTGTACAGCATAGAAGTGCTCCTGGGTTCTTTTCAGCTGTGGGAGAGACACATTTTCAACTGACTTTATTATCGTGTCAGCATTACTTTGAAATCTGGGGGACAAACATAAATGCTCGGCAGTTTCTGAATTTTAGACCCACACAGCTGGGTTCTGCCTACATGTGCTGCTAAGAGAATGCGTGGCCAGCAGAGTGGTGGCTTCTTAAGACCCCCGTAAAGGATGAACATGGTGCAAAAATGCTCCCGAGAAATCGAGATATCTCGGTGAAGAAGGAAGGCAGCCTTTCGGCCTTTTGTGAGAGGGAAATACTTTCCAAACTTTGGAATGCATTTTCATTTTCTTGGAAATTTGTGCCACCTACCAGATTCTGTAAAATTATCAATTCTAATACATCTTGAATTGCTGATAAAATGCTCTGAGGAGCACAGTGAATTCTTTAGGAGAATGTTAGCTTCCCAGTTTATGATGGTTCCATTTTAGAAATTATAGAATTGAGCAACTAAAATGAACTCAGCACCCACTTCCCTTTGAAAGGTAGTTTTTATTTTTTAAAAATTGTATTAACTTGAGCCATGCCTTTTCTTATTCCACATAAAGCAAAAAAAAAAATCTAGTCATGGCATTGATTATCAGGGACAATGCTCCTTTATCCTAATTCATACTTTTTAATTTTTGTTGTTACTACTTTGGGTTGAAAAATGTCAATTATAATTCATCATCTGAATCAAGGCAAAATCTTCACCCTAGTATGCATATATTACATATAAAATACATATATTTATGGTCAAGCATATTTATCACAGATTCCCAGTTGTTATGCTCCCCTTCTATTTGAGAGATAATAACCACTTAAGGATGGTTTTGGGGTGGTTACACTCTCTGATGACAGTACACGGTTTAACTGAAAAAGAGAGTGGGTGAGCTTCCAAAGTGAATTAAAGATGCTACATAGTGGCTCGGAGAGGTTCTCTAAGCACCAACTGATTGCATGGATAGAGAGTTAAGCACCCACCAGCTATGGGAGTGGAGAGCCTGCCTCATCACCGTCAGCTGCGGACACACTTCAGCGTGGTCTTTATATTAAAAATGGAGAGGGCTGGAAAGAGTAGTGAGGGATCAGCATGCTGCCTTGGTGGAGGTGGTGGTGGTTGTTCTGCATCTGCTTTTGTCCTCAAACAGGCTCATGCTACAGCCAGCATTTCATTACTGTTGGTAACAAATGAACGCCAAGTTTGACATGAAACGGAGGGAGCCGGAGCAAACGATTCTGAAAATGGCTTCATTATGTCTGGAAGGAAAGAATCCTTTCTATGATTGCTTGCTTGCATTTGGTCTAACAGCTTAGAGTTTTCTTTCACTGTTTTGTCCGTATGCGAATCAGTGGGCTTCTTTCCTTTCTCGGTTTCCTTCATAATCAATATATACACATATCTATCTATATATTATAATATACATTATAATATACACTCAAGGGACATGGGTGCTGATAGGTTTTATGTATAAATAATCTAGTAAGAAGGTCGCCTTCCCAAGATAGAAGCACAAGTTCGTATGATACAGGCGTAGTAAAATGGGCTCTCAAACCTGCACTCTACTTCAAGACAAAGGCGAAAGAAAAAAAGAAAGAAAGAAAGAAATTCTAAGCCTGGTTTGCCTTTTCACAGAATACTCAAAGCTGGCTCACAGCTCCTCTGAAGGGCACATTGTCAGCAATGATTGAAGTGGCATCTTACCCAGGAGGGGCTGCAGACTCGCACTGCCAGGGCTCCCGGCCGGCTTTCTAAACACCATTATTCTTGGACATGTGAGTTGAACGATCAGAACCGAGTGAAAATCTGATTTCCCCCTCACACTCATCTTGCTTTAACTAGATTAAGTGCATCTGTTTACTAAGTCCTCATAATGCCCTGGATACTGAAAATTTAACACCATTAAACATGTCTTTGTGGAGAGAAGCGAATCGAAACTAGAGCTCCACGGCTTTCTGAGGCTGGACTATGGGCCAGGGACCGAGCAGAGAAAGCCGGGGCTCAAGAAAGGGCATGGCAGGAAGTTGCTGGCTGAATTCCCATCAAGCAGATCTTGGGAGAAATCAGGAAAAAATAACTATATAAGGCCAATATTATAAACATCCTGGTCCAGGAACAGGCTTCCTAGGGCTTATTTTCAAACAGCTGACCCCAGGCATGGCTGTGGCCCAGAGGGACAGCCTCGGGTTTACCCACAAACTTGTCTAGCAAAAATGCTTATCAACAATTTAAAAACTTTCAGGTTCCCTTTTTGATTATTTTAGCGTAGTTTAATTTTTCCTTTGAATAATATAATAGCAAGTAGATAAAAATAAAAACAAAACATATACACCCACAACAAAAACAACAACAAAGCTAGCCAAACGGAATAATGCCCGGTAGAATTACCTAAAGGCCATTATTTCCCCTAAATTAGGCAGAATTTGATTTCTGAATTTGCAACCAAATTACATATAAATCCTTGCCAAGTACAGGGAGAATTTTAAAAAGTATGTGTTCTTGAATAAAGCTCTGACTCACCCAATTTCTTAAGTTACCAAATAAAAACTGGGAAGGGGGAGAAGACATTAAATTAATTTATTACAATGTGAAGGTAAGGAAAAAAGTCAGTTAATAAAAAGAAGGGTAGCAACTCAGCGTGATTACACAATGATTTCAGGTGAAAATTACAAAGCTAATATCCTGGCATTTAATCGTCATGCTCCGTAATGATACACTTGTCAAATTTGTATTTGTGCCACTGGGACAAAACTTGTAAATGGCATAATGGAAGATAATCTCTTTCTCTTTGTGGTTTTTTAAAAATTCAATGTTTTAATCCACCCATTTAATCACAAAACATATATCACATTACTTATAATATTTATAGTGTTTAGGAACATGATTCGACATAGATTATAATGTTGTGGTTGGATGCAGTTTTCTGTCTCTCTCGCGAGCATATCTCAAAGGTACGCAGCCATTTTTGAATTTGCACTTGAGAGCAGTTTTATGTGAAAATAAGCACCAGATATTTGTGTTCAAAGTCCCCGTTTGGTCGTTCCTGAGCTTGCCTGTTATTTTGCAAAACCCAGATTCGGCATTTAGAAGAACCTGGTGTGCAGAATGCAAGATCTCTGTGGCCAGCACAGTCCTAGAGTTTCTGTCCTCCTCGTGCCTCAAAACTTGCTAGACCACAAAACGTCTTTGGTGTTTTCTGAACCATACAGCAAGGAGAGGTGCTGGGATACCTCAGGGTTGAGGCTGTCCTACTGTGGCTGCCACAGGTTCCTATGTCGTGTAGCAGGCTGCCCAGCATAGGGTCACCCTGTCCCACACTCCCTGATCAAGGCTGGGAACTTTGATAGTAAAGAATTATAAAGGACCATACAGTGCCAGAAAAGACAGGTTCCACCTGCCCTGTGTCTGGGACTCCTTATAGCCACACGAGTATAAAGCACGAGGGCCTCTGCCATTCTGGCCCTGGGAGCTGGGGCCACAATGCTCTTTCCCCAGGAAGAGTGAAACTCACTGTTTGTGGTTGTCTATCTTCAGTTACTGGCAGTCGTAGAAAATGAAAGTTGATTAGAACAGGACATGTCCTGGTTGGTTTCCTTTCCCCTGAAATGTATCTTATGGGGTTGCCTGCCCTAGTATGTTGTGTGCCTTAGCACTAGCCTAGGTCAGGGTCATGGTGGTCTACCGAACTTATAAATCAAATCACTGGTAGTTAAAGGCCCTGGCAGAGCTGGCCAACTCAGGCTAGCTTCACCCAGTGTGTCTAGCACCTCCCTCGTGGCAGTCCAGTACAACGTGGAATGAAGTTTCCTGGGAAGCGGGACACACAAGGAACTTTTGAATTTACCAATGGCATAAAAAATTATATTTTTTATTACAACGGGCAAGTTTCAATTGGTTGACAGAAATGGCGAGATATGACGTCAAAGGACACTGGTTAGAATGCCAAGGCCAGTGGGGTGGGGGAGGAGGGAGACTGTGGGATGGGCCCTGGAGGCCTTGTTCTCCCTGGCCCTGGTCGTCAAAGGGCTATCATGCACCTCCATAACCAGGCAGGCCCAAGTGGCTGTGATCCAGAGCATGTCTGGACAGGAGGAGGGAATCCAAGTCTAGGGACCCTGTGTTCACATGTGTCGCTGAGAGCCCGAGGCCCAGGCTGGCCTCTGTTTGGAAAACGCTTGGGCGCGCCAGTGAAGCGATCTGGAAGCCGCTGCGGCCTCCTTGGTATTCTAACCAGTAACCAGGCCCTGGAGCCCAGCCGTCCCATTCCCCCTTTTAGGGGCCCGGTGTGGCCTAAAGCCAGCAGTGTCACCATCGGGCTGAGAGCAAAGCCATGGCCTTGAACTACCCCCGCAGCTCCTGTGCCCTAGTCTTGTAGCAGGAAGTAGTTTCTAGCGTGAAGGGGGCGAGCCTAGAGCTGGGTACCGGCTCTGGGCACCATGCCCATGCGAATCCCATGCCTCCCCCAGACACCTTGCGCACCCCCTTAGCATGCTCAGTTCTGTGCACTACTCCCCACACCCACTCGCGAGGTTCAGTGTGCCCTCCCTGCTGCTCCCGCTGGGCACCGCGCCCCTTGCTCTGTTGGACTGGCGGGGTCGCCCGTGCGCGCGCCCCTTCCTTCGGGAAGACATTGCCACTGTCTGGCCCACCACGCTGTCTCAGTACCCAACCTAGATCTCGGCGACCCTGGCGGCTGTCCTTAACGCGCACTGGACTGCGGGCGGGCAGAGGAGACTGCTGTCTGCGGAGGGTCCCAATCGGCCCCGAGCGTGCGCGCGCGTCCCGGTGCTGCCCGCAATCATGGCAGCCGGCGCCTTGGAGCGCAGCCGCGGAGCGCGCCTCGGCAGCCTCCTCCGTGCCAAGGCGGCGCGGGCGGCGCGGTCAGGGGACGCGCTCCTGTTCGGCCCTCCCCGCTGCGTTGGCTTCGGGGCTCTACGGGTGGGTCTCCGCTGTGCAGTGCCCTGTGGGGTGGATGCGCGAGGGCGACGGGCGGGGCCGCGGGGCGGGCGCGCGCAAGCGGGGAGCGCCCGGGGCGGCGTGCCCGCGGGGGGCGCGCACGCGGAGCTGCGGGGCCAGGAGCAGGGCCGGGGCGGCGAATCCGCAGCTCCCGCCGCCCGCCCAGCCCGAGCGCGCCCGTCCGGGTGGGGGCTGCCCGGGAGGGGCGGCGCCCGGACGCACCGGCCCGCAGCGGGCACGGCGGCCTCGTTGGTATTCCGGGCGCGTTCGCAGCCCTGACCTCCGCGCGGAGCAGGGGTGCCCGGGTGCTTGGGCACGGCCGTCGCCGCCCCCGGGCGGTCTCCCCAGGACGCAGAGGGCGCCTCGCTTCCCCCGTCCCCTCCTCCCCGGTCCCATGTGCCCCCTCCCCCGCCCCGATCCGGCGGCGAAGGGGTGGGCAGGGAAACGCGCTCTCTGGGACAGGTGCCAACTCCGAGACAAAAGACATAAAATAGGCGGCAACGGGGGGAAGCGCGGCCAGCGCGCTCGGGCGGGGACCGCGGCGCCGCGGGGGCCGCATCATCGGTGCGGGCCGGGGAAAGTTTGGGAAGTCGGTGCGGCCGCTCGGCAGCGGCGGGGGACGCGCGGCCCAGGCCGCCCTCCGTGCTGCGCTCGTCCTCTCCGCGCCGCTGCTGAATAATTCATAGCGCGCCCGCCGGCCATTAGCATGCACCGGGCGCGCGGCGCGTCTGTGCCAAGCCGGCGCTACATTCGGAGCCGGGGCAGCTCCAGACCAGTGGCCCGCACTGTCCTGATGCCCTCCGGCCTCCCCCATGGCCCGTACTGTGGCCCCGCGCGCACCCTTAGCCGCTGGGTCCCGAGTCCGCCCGACGGCCAGGCTCTCTGAGCGTCCGGGCCCGCTGCGCCCGCCTGGCCGTTCCGGGATGCACGTGAACTTGGAGAAAGTCACGGGGCACACCGGCCGGGTCCTCCGCGGCAGGGCGTGGGCGCACGCGGGGCCGCACGCTTTCGTTTGCGTCCGGGACAAAGGTCTCCAGTGGCGCCAGTCGTGGACGCGTGACTCGGTCCTTCTGGCCACTCTTTTGCGTGGTGGGTCGTTGGATGGAGGACTGCAGAAGCCCGGAGAGCAGGAGCGGTGGTGGGTCTTAGGGCATGGGCCTCGCCGTGCGCTTGCCGGTGGCCGTTCCACCCTGGGAAGAGTTGCTGGAGCTGCTCTGCGCTGCTCTCGGCTGTTCCTGAGCGCAACGAACCCAGCGCAAGTCACCCCCGGACTCCAGCCAGCGGTCTCGGGCACGCCAGCGTAGCGCTAGCCGTGGCCAAGAGGTGGTCTGGCAGGGCTGTGGCCATGATCAAGCTTGGAGAGGTAAGAGTTTGGGTTTTTTTTTCACTTTAGCTTCTTGGCTTTTAAATATTTAATGGACAGATTTCTAAGAGGGGTCCTTCTGCCTTTCACAGCCAGGGATGTGCCCGAGGTGGGTTGCTCTTGAACCCGAAGCCAGCCAGCTTGCAAAGAACGCCAGGCCGTCCTTTATCCAGAACTTGGGATTTTATAAAACACAGCTTCCGACCTCAGGTGTGGGGGCTACTAGCCATGTAGAAATTTTATTGAGCATATAAAATATTATAACGGGTATTTTAAACAAAAGAAAAGAGAAAATATCTGTGGGGGGTTGTTTGAAAATGTTATTAGGAAGCTAAAGTCCTTTCTTGAAAATTTGAACTGTTATTATTAAACCCTTACTTCTTTAAAAATTTTATTTAATGCAGGATGGATGTTTTCAGAGAGCTGCTCTAAGTGTAGCAGCCAAGATCCAGGGTGCAGTGGAAGTTCTTGCTTAGGGGGGGCAGTTAAATAAAGCAAAACAAAACAAAAAACCCAGTTCATAACCTCGTGTAATAAGTGCATCTATAGGTGGCTTACACAGCCCACAGCAGGCCTGAGGAGGCTTATGGGGACCCAAAAAAAGGGGTGAAAGAATTTGTCTTTGCCATAATCATGGGGTTTTAGGTAACACTAGATTAATTTCTTCAAAGTTGGGTTTCAGAAGCCTAGATGTTCTCTCCAGGTCAGCAATAGAGTCATTTTATTTGAGCACATAGATTCTGGCTACCTGGGAAATAAAACTGTGTCCCTATATGTGTGTACCTAGCCTGGGTTAAAACTAAACTACCGCCGTGGGGATTAAGCCTGCTTTCATATAGTTGTGCCGCAGGTGTGAATATGCTGACCCTCTCTCCACATTTCAGATGTGGTTTGGATAGCCTTGTTGGGCCATTCACCTCACATCACGTACAGTGGGGGGGGGGCTGTTTCTGTAATATCCCAGTACCATGAGCTGGCACTTGAGGCCTTGTTTCCGGGAATGTGCATGAGGCCAGAGGAGTCCAGGCATGCTTTATACCTGCCTTCATGGACTGTGCTCTAGTTGGTCCAGGGTAAGAGCCTCAAAGAGGGGGGAGTCTTTTTTAGCGGAGTCTGAACCAAATACTAACCTTGACCATTTTTTTATTTATGTGTTTTTTTTCTTTACTAGTCTGCTTTACGTCGCTCACCGCCCCTGTTTTAAGCTTTTGTTCATTACTTAATCAGAGGCATTTAGCAGACAGAAAACCCTGGGTGAGACATTTGGGAGCCATCTCGGCTGTAGACGTGCATCTGTGGAAGGTATGCCACCCAGAGCTGCTTGGTTTAGCACTGGCCATCGTGGGGTACTTAGCAGAAGCTCACTCTCCTTGCCAGAAAAATGCTGGCAGTGTTTTCCCTTGTCCACAGAAGACCCATGCACAGGGTTGGAAGGGCAGAGATTACGTGATTAGTTGAGGTTCTTCGTCGCTTAGGACGACAGCAGACACCCAAACAAGTGGACATCTCATCTCTACAGCTACTCTCCAGGCCATTGTGTGGAACCCAAGGCAAGCAGGAAAGAACAGCGTGTCAGAGGAGGTGCTTCCAGGGCCTTGAACCAAGGGCACTATTTTGACAAGTATCAGGGTCCTATATATTGCCAGAATGTCCCCTGATAATTGGGAAACAACAGGATTAAGCGTGTTTGTTTCCAGGGAGGCCGTCCAGGACATCTTCCCATGCTCAAATAGCTTGTTTGGGCAACATTTTTTGGGGGGGGAGGGGAATACACATACACAAAAGAGGAAACACTTGGTCTGTTTTCTCCCTGTTGGATTTAATATAAGGAACAGGTAAGCAGGGTTCTGGTGGAACAGACAGCTGTGTGGACTCCCTGGAGGCATGAGGCTCTGTTTCTGCTATTAAATTAGGGCCAAGTCGAGGGTGGCCACAGTAGAGCCTTACCATGCCTCACACTGTCCTAGGCAAGTGATCTCCAGGGCAAGATCACTTGAGCATGCAGGCTGGGTTAAGCACCAGTCATGTGTGGCAACAAGGCCTTCATGTCTTCTACTGTGGTAGCATGCTCCAGGCTTTGTAGCAGTATGGCTTGCATCTGGCTGGTGACCTTTGTGGAAACCTGTCTTTCTGCCTTTATCTAGTCACCAGAAGGACTGCCCCAGCTCATCATAGACAAGGTCCGACTGGAAGGCAGGAGGAGATGGGTATGGAGGACCTTGCCCATCCAGATAGGCACCCCACTGGGTGGGTACTCCTTTCTGTCCAGGAGAACTGCTTATGGTCCTTGAAAGAGGAACAGAGCTCAGGGAAGGGCCAGGCCTTCTGGGCCAGACAAGAAACATCTTGTAACTTCCATGCGTCATTTTTTATTGCTACGGTTGGATTTTCATGGTTGTATTTGCATGTGTGGAGTGAAGGAAGAATACTGATATAGAACTCTGGATGCTGGAGTGCCCAAGCTCACACTGGGGCCTGGAGTTGTAACATTCCAGGTTCTAATTTGTCCCTGTCTTCAGCTCACCATGTGACCCAGGCAAAGTTCCTGTTGCCTCCCCAAGCCTGTACCCTGAGCATTCCAAAGAGGAATACAGATGCCAATCTCAGAGGATGCAGACAGCATTATTTTTACAAGGTGCTATTGCTGGCATGTTGTCTGGGAGCACTCAATGACTGTGCTATGGTCATTATTGTAAATGAAATCACTATAATTACTTATATATTTATCATGTAATACCCTATGATTGTATTATATATGATATATTCTAGGTAACAGATCCCACTTCTGGTTTATCCAGAAAGGACACCAAGAAGTTGACTTCCCAGCCAGCACCTTAGGGTAGGCTGGTGGGAACTTGCAGATCCAGAACCTTCCATATCCCAGGGGACTTTGTCTGAAATGTGACTACTATATGCATTGTGGATCTTGCCTTGGGTACAGGAAATGAGACACTTGGGGACTCAGAATGTGCTACACCTTCACAGGGCAGTATGGGATCTTACCGGAAAATGACTTCAGGGTGCTGGTCCGGGTCTGAACTCTGTTCTCGATAGTGGTCCAGAGTGGCCATGTCAACTTCCAGTATCCTTGCTAGTAATGCAGCTAGGGATATGATAGAGTTTTGCCACTCTGGCAAATGAAGGGTACATTTACCAAATAACTTGTTTTAGAGAAATTTTCTCCTGGCTGTTTGTTCATAAAGATTGTCTTTTCTCAAAGCACGTTGTTGGAACAAAAAGAAACTGTAAGAGCACCAGCCACACTTTCTGATGTTATCAGAATGATGTGTGAGAAAAAGCAACAATTGTCTCCAGGCAAAGACAATGGATCTTTTATATGGGATATTTATTTTGAGGACTGACCAGTGTTCCATTGGCTGGGATAGTCATTAGAGTTCAAGCATTCAAGTATTGCAGGCCCTGGCCTAATAGTCAAGGGCAGAGGTTTATGGGGGGTGGGATGGACAGACGGACGAAAGTCCCATGAGTTGTGGTTCATGGGAAATTTCAATGGGTATGCCCAGTTTCTTTGTAGAATGCAGTTTAAACTTCACTAATTTATTTTTCTCTGTCTGTGATTTCTTTCCAAAGGCCACCGGGGGTACATCGGCAGTCCTTGAAAAGGTGGCCAAGTTTGGGGTTATGGGACTGCTGAAGTTTCCTTTAGGCCAAATCTAGTCAGTCTAGCTGTGTTTCAGAATGAAAATGAATAAAATGGACTCGAAGAGGCAGAATCACTTCCCAGGGGCTCCATCAGACAGTGTGGGCACACATTTGTGGTTTTCCAATGTCATCCCCTCCTCCTCCTCCTCCTCACCTCCTGTACCCAGATGAACTTGGGAGTGGCCTGTAGGTTGTGGGATAACTGGAGTGGAGAAGCCCACACCGGCCCTCCTTTATATTTCCATCTATCCAAAGTATTTTGTGACTCGTGATAAACAAACCCAGTGTGTGGAATCATGAAGACTGTCTTCTGAATTAGTTGAATGCACTGTATTTAGCCTCGAGGCCTCAATACCAAGGAGAGTATTCCCAGCCTACCATCTAAGGACTGATCTGGCCCAAGCTTTGCTTGGTGGTGAGCCACATTAAAAATGAGGCCAGTGGCTGAGTCTCACCTTGGAGATTCAGAGTGGCCTTGCTGTGGCCAGGGATTGTATAGAGTGCAGAGAGGGTCAGCCTTGTGCAATCCTTGGAGTTCCAAGGGGGACCCTTAGTCAGAGGACACCTGTTACTTCAAGTGACCCTTAGTCAAGACACTTCTGGAGGAGGACAGACAAGAGACAGGTCCAGGCAGGGAACACCTACTCATTACTCAAAGGAATTTTTAATTTTTTGGTAAATAATATTTGTCTTCAGAGTAAGGTTTTATTTTTTAAAATTGCTTTTGTTCATTTTGCTTATATTAATCTGTGCCACCAAAATGCCAAGCCAAGAATCTTTTACGGACGTTCAGACATCCTCTAAGCCTGTGAGTGCAGGTGTGGAAAAGCTGTAATCACGGGAAAGAATGAAATTGTGTATCCTGGGCAGAAAGCAAAGACGAAACCCTGAAAACATGAGTTATATTCACTTACTGGAGGAAGCGGGCACAAAATGCAGTGTAGTCTAGCCATCAGATTTTGGCATCTTCTAGTTGGAGTTTGGGATCTGGAGCCTGCTTATAATGCAGAGGTGTGTGCACAGGTATCTGGGATTCACTGTCCAGGCAATGGTGGGAAGGGGTTGTGAGCGGTGATGGCCATCAGGCTGGGGTAGGTTGTCGTTGTCGTTGTAACATGTACACAGAAGGCAGACAGCCTCATTGTATATTTTTTTGAGGCTGGGTAATTTTTCCCTTCAGATTAAAGAGGAATGCTGCCCAGGTACTCTGGTTTTCTGATACTGGGCTGACTTTTTCTATGAACCTCCCCCCACCCTTTTTTTTTTTTTTTTTTTTTTTTTTTTACTATTTCTGGCCAGAGTAGCACTCAGCAGGAATATCTTAAATTTAGAATTTCCTTTGATATATTTAAGAAATGTATCTACATCGAATTCAAGCTTTTATAATTACAACTTAGATTATTATAAACCATACCAGCAGTGCAGCCCCCTTTCCCCATACCTTCGGGCAGTCCTACCCTGGACTGCACAGCACTCAGACCTGACAGGGTTGGTTCTGACCTGGAGGGACTCGTAAGAGTATCACAGTCCATGCATGCCAACTGCTGACCCTCCCACCTACAGAAGTGCTTGTTGATGGGGATCCTAGCCAGGGCTGTGGCATGCGGCTGCATCTGATAAGGACCCTCTGCCCTCTGTGGTGCTTCTGTGTCCCAAGGCCTCAATGGCCTGCTATAGTTGTACCGAGGCTTCTGTTTCTTGCATGACAAGCCGTAGTCACTTCTGATTGTGGCAACACTGGGTGTATGGGGGGTACCTCCTCTTATGGCCGTGTGATCCAGGTTCCCTTGTCTCAGCAGGACCCCCAAATAGCTACCGGTAGGGCTTCAATGACTTCTCTGCATTGTAGACTGACAGAACAGGTCCCATTTCACACAGCATAGGGACCCTTCTCCTCCCAGGGCCAGGCTCTTGGCAGCCACGCCAAGCCATTGCTGGCATGGATTCCCGGCGTTCTTGGTCGAGCGCATGGCATCGGAATGCTACCTGCTTTGTCTCTGGCGTCAGCTGGCAAGCAGTCACGTGGCCGTATGCGTGAGGCCAGAGCTAGAGACCAGAGACGCCTCCCGGACAGCTTCCTCTTAGCTCGCTCTGCCTATCCTTTTCTTGGCTTTCAGCATGACTGTCTGAGCAGGCAGAAAGCAGAATAAAACTAGTAGGCTGCCCAGGGAAGGCCAGATCTGTGTGGTTTGCCTGACCACCCTTTACCTGAGTCGTCATGGACAGAAAGTCCCTTACCATGGCCCACATGATGAGGAGTTAGTTGGTCAGTGGTTCCTCCACCATCCCCGGTGGCCGAGCTGGCTCTGTGGTGCCTAGGTATCTGGGAAGAGGTAGTATATGCTGCTCCCCCATACTGTAGATTCATTGCGTTTCTCCATGAGTACCTCTGATGTCATATAAAGGGCCCAAAGTGACATGGAGCTGAGAGGATCTGGCAGGGGCAGGTGGCTGAGTCTGATCATTTCAGCAAAGTCGCCCCTGTCAGGCCCTTAGCTCCTCTAGCTGTTTCTGATGGCTCCATCATAGGATTATGTCCCCAAGGCAGTGACAAGGAGTGGCTTTAGTTTCACTGAAGGGTCTGGGAGAACAGAGGTGGTGTGTTTCAGCTCTACCCTGGCACTCCTCGTTCTTGGCTGCTTGGTGGCTCTGGGATCCTCTTGGCTCTCCCAGACATTGGGTACTGAGCACACTGCCCAGTGCCAGGCATAATGTCCACCTCCCATCAACTACAGGTCGGAGACATAACCCCCCTCGTTAATTTCGGTGAGAAAACCGAGGCTGAGAGCAGTTTTGCGGATTCTTAGCCAAATTCAAACCCATAGTCCAGACTCCTGGCTGAGGCAGCTCTCGCCTCCATGATTAGGATGGGTCACGCTAAGAGTCTTGGTCAGGGGGTAGCTGGAATGGGAGCCCTGGCTCTCCCGAAGGAGAACAGCCGAGTGCCGGCCACCTCCTGCTACTCTGTAGAACCCAGCATAGGAACAATGCGGCCTCTATCTGGAGCAGTTCGGGCAGCCTGGACTCCAGGCCCCTCAGAACGGCTTGGCTGGCCAGGCAGTCGCAACATGGCGCCAGGGCCACCCTGCCCATCTACAGGGCTGGCTGTTGCCAGGGCTGGGGCTGAGCTGGTGTTCCAGGCGTTCTCAGGCTAGCTGCTGAGTGGTCAGGCACTGTGGTATCCTCCCTCCTCTCCCTGTCGTCCAGCCCCCGCCTTTTTTTTTTTTTTTTGGTGGTGGGTTTCGGGGCCCGGCCCACCCGCCTCTGCCACGTCTGCCATCCTCCAAGCACCCACGAGCATCTTTCGAAAATTCCCGGTGGGCGGGGCCGAGCTGTAGCGGCCGCCTCTGCCCCCCCCCTCCCCGGGAGCCAGTGCCAGATGAGAGAGAGCAGGAGACAAAAGTAGCATTTTCCTCGTCCTCCTAGGCTGGCAGCAGGGCCTTCCCCCAGCGCCACTTGCTCCTGGCAGTCCTAACCCCGGACGCCAGAGTAGCCAAGGCCCAGGCCAGGATGCACGGACTGATGGACGCCAGAGCCCAGGGCCTCTCCGGCAGAGACTGGCACCTGGGGACAGCCTTTAGGCTGGTGGGAGCCCTCTTACCCAGCCAGGGCAGGGGACATCGTTTTCACTTCCTGGCTTTTGAGAAAGTGACCCTGTCCTTCAGTTCCTTGGTAAGTGACCTTCTCCCTTTCGCCTGCTGGGGACGAGCAGAGGGCCCTGCCATCTTGTGCTCCGTGCCTGTTAAGTCTCCTTCCCTCTAATTGGCTTAACCCAAACCCCAAATTCTATTCCAGAGCCCCCCCCCAGTCTTGAGTGAAGCAGGCACTGCCAAAAACTGCAGGGAAGAGAGAGAAACCAAGCCATTTATTTTTAAGATCCAAAGCTATGGCTTTCGAAATGATAATGAAAACACACGTTTGGTATTTCACAGTGGCTGCGTGTTCAGTGAGGAGCTGAGGGCTGGAGGAGGCACCAGTCGGCAAAGCCACTCTTCCTTGCCTGTGTTGCTTTGTTGTTGAAGGGGGTCTTATTATTTCATTAGCATTTTTTTTAACTTTGGCAGTACCGGGAATAGCAGAGGGGGAAAACGCAGAACCATCGTATGGTTCTCCAGCAAAGGGCACAGGCAAGGCCAGCCAAACACAAGAGGGAGGACTTTCGTGTTCAGAAACAGAGGTGGTTTTATTCTGTCCCGCATCCCTAATGCCACCATTTCCACGGTTTAGGGATTTAGTTCCTTCTGCCTTTCGTTTCATTTTGTTTTATTTATTTTTTAAAAAGAAGAAAGCTTTTCTTGGCTCAGCGTGGGGAAAATCCGGGGTTCTACACTCTGCTTTTAAAGCATTTGCTTTTAAGGTTTTTCTTTTTCTTTTTTCATTTTGAGGGGAGAATCTAACATCACAGTAATGTGCCCAGCTTGTAACCACGTTGCCAGGCTGGGCGAGACCTGCGACCAAGCAGGCCTCTGGAAGAGCACACCAAGTGGTTTCCAGGCCTGTCTAGACCCTGTCCCATACTGGTTCCTCACCAGCAGAGTTGTGCTAGGCCACATAGGGCCTAAACTGTGGCTGATGAGGCTAAGGAGCCCCTGAAGACCTTTGTGTAACCCGCCATGCCCATGCTGCTGTGAGCCGAGTTAGTGCTATCTGAGTTCAGTCGCAGGCCCCATCCTTTATAAAAAGAGACCCTTTGCAGAGCCCAGCCGCCTGATCACCTCCACCCTTCTGGCACGCTGACAAAAGCGCCCTCGACCACAGCCCGGGTCCTTGTGTTTGAGGGTAGCTGGGGTCTTGATTTATGGGAACTGGAAAATCCTACACAGAAAGTTCCACTGCACAGGAAGAGGAAAATTCCCAAGTACAGACATCTTTGTTTCCCTAGTCCAGACGCACATGGGCTCTATGTGTCCGGGGACTCAGCCACAGCAGCCACCCGGAGCAGACTTCGCTAGATATGAAAACGGAACCCAGCCCGGCTGCTTTTGTTCTTATGCTAGGCAGCAGTCGATACGGAAGGGTTTGGGGCTGCGGAGACAGGCATATATAGCTGAGATAATTAAAACATTTTCACGATTATGACAGCCACATTCTGCTGCTGCAAGCTGGAGGATTCATTCCACCCAAATATTTAGCAAGCATCGGATAAAACACTAGTGGCAAAATAAAAGTAATAGGGGGAAAAGCAGCGTAATATATTTCAAAGGCAAAAGCATGGCAAAGAGAATTAGGCAAGGAAGAAAAGGGAGGTTAACAGCTTGAAAGAAACTGCATTTTAACAACTGCCCACCCTTCACCTGTTGTTTTTAATAGTTAATGTAGGTGAATATAGCTCCAATTTTAAGTTCTGGGTGGATGTGTGGTAGAATTTCTTGAGCGCTAATTCATCTTCCTTTTGAACAAGGGGAAAGTATGGAAAAATAATCCATGTAAATATCTTCACTGTTAAATTAGTACCTTCCACTCTGAGTAAATTTACCCATTGCTTTTAATGTTTGTCTATCACACCGTCTTTACACGTGTGGGAAGATTTGAGTATCCACTTGCCACCTTACGTTTTGAATTCCTTTATCATCAGACCCCCGGCCCCCAAATGTAAAATGTCATCCTCTTTTTAAAAAAAAATGGGCAAAATCTCAGCTCTTTCCATGGCACCCATTGCTTTTTGACAGTATTTTTTAAAAAAAGAAAGAACCACGCAAAGCAGTTTCCACATCACTGCTTCTATATAAATTCCACTATAGACAGAAATTATACATTCTTGAGGCACAGATGGGCTGGTCTGTCATTACCACTGCCTGGTACTTGTTGGAACACACGGCATATTTTAATTGTGGAGTCAACAATTTCGAAGAACTGAGGTCAAAATAAACAAGCCGCATTTGTGTCGAGAAGCAAACTTGTTCCATGATCTTCTGGAAGGGCTGACAGAGTACCACTGCCGTGTTAGATTTTTTTTTGTCTCTGGGTACTCATGCATGTGTGCTGTGTGTGTGTGTGTGTGTGTGTGTGTGTGTGTGTGTGTGTGTGTGTAGGCATTTTCACACCATGGGCACGCACGTGAAGGTCGGAGCGCAACTCACAGGAGTCAGCTCTCTCCCTGCACTGTGTGACTTCCAGAAACTGAGCTCGGATTGTCAGGCTTCACAGACACATACTGTTACCTGAGAGCTGGCTCACCAATCCTGTCCCCATCTTGTAAGACTCCAAATGCCCTGTGTCAGAGGTCCTTCCTTATTTTAATTAATTACCAATTTTTATCTCCAGTTCCAACTTGTGGGATGTGGAATTATTAGTATATCTCCTTAACTATAAGGAGGTTCAGCCTCCTGATATTTTGGGTTAGCATGCATGTAATTATTTTGAGACCTGCACACGGAAAAAACAAATAATAAATATTTCAAATGGTTTTAAGTGAGTCAATTGCATAGAATAGGTATAAATTTAAAAAAAAGTCTCAGCAAGGTAAGAAAATACATATATGTGGGGGCTGTATCAACACACTAGAGGCCAGAGCACTCTTACAGCCACAATTTGCAGATGGTGAAAATTGCTTATTTTGGGAATTGTGTACGTGCGATGATGTAATCAGCCGTAAACTGCACTTTCGCCCCCTTCCCCATGTGTTCAGCACTGACCTCTGTACTTCTGGAGTCCAAAGCTGTGCCCCTGGTCTGTAGAGAGCATTTGAGGCTCCTGCACTGGGAGGGAGGAGGGAAAGGCCTTCTGCACACTGCCCCAGCGCCCCCATCCCCGGGAGCTCCAGCCCCCACACCCGTTTGTTAATAGAAATGCTTTGTCGTGGCTTGTTTATTTGAAGGCTTGTACCTGTTGGTGGAGATGTTAGCGAACAGTGGAAATGGAACATTGACGAACTCCTCCACAGGTGGCTGGGAGTGGTGAGTCTGAGTATCTACCCCCTTCACACTTTTCCTGTGGGTCTGCAGGTCTGTCAGCCACTGCCTCAGAGTCAGGGGAAACTGAAGTCAACGAACTCGAAGCCAGGGGGTGGCGACAGTGTTGTGTCAGTCATGGGCATGGCTTCGGTACTGTTTGGGCCAGGGATACAGTGGCCTTTCACTTTCGGAAGATCGCGTATGTAGGGGAGAGAGACAAAGAGTTGCTCTGGCTCTGTATTCTGTCTATAAGTCAGTTACACTTTCCGAGCCTCAGTTCCCCTGTCTGTAGAATGGGAACAGGAAGCAGAGATCTATCCAACACCAGAAGACTCAGTTAATGGAGCACATCCTTGCCCAGTCATTGCTTCCTCGCTGTACTTTGGAGCCTCAGAACGTTTCCCAAAGCACCTGGAGAGGTGGGGAAATCAGAGAGATACAGCCAGCAGTTAGGTCAAGAATGAGGCCCCGTTTCCTCCAAAGTTCCTACAGGTCAGCTAAAGTTTTTCACTTGTGTGTGCCCCCTCCGTGTACAGGTTAGAACATGGATGTGCAATGAGGTCTTTGCAGGGAAACGTGCATAGAGGCATGTGTGTGTGACATGCACACACAAACATGGGTGTCTATTTTCCCAGTGGCTAGTATTCAGACCCGGCCCAGGTACCCGTAATAGACGGGCATTTTCTACCAAGGTGGGCAGTGCCTTTTAGATATTGTCTCTCTTCTTCTTTAAGTGAACCATGGAGCCCTTTTTACATCCTTGCAACAACTGTGGTAGACAGCCCATCACTGTCCCTAGGGGTCTGAGATGAGCCCCCTTCCCTAGGCTGGGAAGTTGAGGTGAGGGTGGGGTGGGGGTACAATCAGTTCCAGAGCAAAGATAGTCAGACGTAGTCATCAGGCCCAGGGAAGGCCCAGACTGCGTTCTCCCTATGTGGATGGACGGTTCCAGGCGCCGGCCATTTGCAGACCTGGAGGAATGAGAGTGAGCCTCTGGGCCCAGCAGAGGAAATGGCGGCCCAGAGCGGGGAATCTAGGAAGGCGGGCCGAGGGCGGGGAGCTGCCCGGAAGTCCTGCTATTGCTGCTGGTCAGCTGCTAGGGGCCTTCTTCCAAGGAGCCACCCACAGGGCTGGGCCTTCCCAGGCAGGTCTGTGTATGCCTACAGGCATGCTGGGCCCAGGGCAGGGCTTGCCCGTTAGGAACACTGTACATACAGCAGAGGGGTTAGATGAGACAGAAGCCCGGCACACCTTCTGACAGGTCTTGGAGCTTGATTTTTAAAAAGAGGGTTACAGCACCTGGCTCAGACTGTGGAGGAAGCCCATGAATTGTTTGTTGTCTTTATTAACCTCGTTGTGTCCTAGTAGGTAGATCTAGGAAGCCTGAACTTTTAAGTGAGTTACTTGTTCACCTCAGCCTCAGTGCTCCGCCTCAAAATGGGAGGGCATGAGGCACAAGGGCTTCTTGTGAAGAAATTAAATATCTGTGAAGTGATGGGACATTTGGCCTGATGCAGGGCTGTTGATGGGTAGCAGTTGTGGGTGGACCACGGGAAAGAGTCCTTGACATTGGGCCTTGTGACTCTCTAGGCTTTGAGTTTGGGTAGGGGATGCAGGCTGGAGCTGGGGTGCTCAGGAGGTAGCCTGGACATACTAGTATGTACGGGAACCTCTGGCCCAGTTTCCTGGGCGCCCAGCCCTGAGCGAGATTCCTGGGGTGGGTGTGCCTATGCTTCTGGCTTAGGCGTGGGATCCTGCCTGCTCTCTCCCTGCCAGGACTCATGGGATGAACCTCACCTGGGCCTGGGCTTTCAAAGTCCCTGTTAGTAGCCTAGTGTTTCTGCCAGGTGCTAGCACGTTTGACCTTCTGATAGACCCCTGCAGGGTCCAACATGGCTGCTATCAGAGGTCTCGGTGTCAGGGAGGCACTCCATCCAGCCTAGGCTTTTTCTGCGGACGTAGAGTGAGTCACCCAATGCCAGTATATCGGGAGACTCAGCACCTGAGGACTGGGGCATGGGGATCTCAGGCCTGTATCCAGAGTGCTCTGGCATCCTGGGAAAGCTCTGCCCCTCAGATGTGGTCATTCGTGGGCCATCCAGCTCAGGGGCCAATGCCAGGCACCTGAAAGTGGGCACTCCCAAGGCCAAGCTTGCAACTGAGACCTCAGCTAGGTGCCAAGGCAGCAAAAGAGTGGCCACTATAGTCAGTGTCCAGCTGCCAAGAGAGGAGATAAGACCAGGTAGGCAGGCCTGGTTAGAGACCTCCACAGCTGAAAGCCCCTGCCTTGGCCCAGGTGAGGGCTTGGCCACAGTAGGAGTTTCCCAGAGAGCACTAGTGCAGGTAGGTTATCACAAACATGTCTTACTCTGTGTGCCTGAGAGACCTCATTTTGCAGAATACCCACTATGTGCTAGGCTCAGGCTGGGACATTTCATGAATTTTTAAAAACCATGTCCATTTTTAACTTGAATCTATCCAATCCGTTTTCATCTCAACATCTGACCAGGGCCCATGCTGAACTAGTCAGAATGTAAAATAAACAAAACTCAGTCCCTGCCTTAGTGGAAGAAGTCCCAGTCTAGTGAGGGGTGGATGTCAGCTTTTCTTTACAAGAGAATAGAGGTGCAGAGAGGCCAAGGAACTTTCCCATAGTCACATAGCTTGGGTACCAGAACCCTAACCCTGATCTTCCCCATGGCTGTGCCAAATGACCTGGCATTGGACTCCTGTTTATTTTCTGCCTGTTGGAGGCTGGCCTTGGCTGGTTCTCCCTAGACACCCAACACCAGCAAGAATCTTACCTTTGGCCCGGAGTTCTGCTACAGAAAGGAGTTGTCCTGGAGCTCCAGGCCATGTATGTTTGAGGGTGCTGAAAATCTCTCCCTGACAGAACTACTATCGCCCCTATGCTGGTGCCTGCAGGTCTAAAGGGTCTGGGGTATTGCCCTAACTCATGGTCTCCATACTGTCATGGTCTAATGTGCTGTGAACCACACTCAGGGATCATACTGTTGTTCTCCATGGCCCTGAGGCAGGGAGCTACTGAGCTACTTGGGACTGTGGGCCTAGATGCTGGGTCTAAGGTCCTGGTAGACTCATAAAAGGCCAGTTCTTGATGGTGAATCGGGAATGTGTTAGCATAGAGAGCAAGGGAGCCTTCTATGAATCCCAGCAGGCCATTGGTTGGTGTGGCCCACCCTGGGGGCTTGAGTCCCCAAGCCCACAGAGTCTCTTGCATATCAAGAGTAGTGCCAAGCTCCCTCCATCCTTCAGGGTCACATCACATAGGTTTTAGGCCCCACAGCACACCAGGCCAAGTGTGCTTTGGGAGGAGACCCAATAGCCCCATCCAGAGTACGATGGAGAGGACCATCTAGTGTTCTAGAGGTCTGCCTCCCCCCATTCTACCCATACCAGCAGGCCTGAGGCACACAGAGCACCAACATGGCTGGCATGGCAAATGCAGATATCCTCGGGAAACCCAGGCTCCTACTTAGATGCCATGGGCCCAATCCCTTCCGAGGAGACTCAGGTTATAGGTTTGGAGCATCTGAGGAATTCAGGAGACTTCCTGGAGGTGGTGGACCCACAGCCCCGGTCTCTTCCCTAAAGCTGACCGCCAGGGCTATGACTGCAGGGCCCCGCGCCCAACCCTACTCCTGCCACGTCCCAGGGCTCCCTGCCAGGCGCCACCCCACCCCAGCCCTGTACAGGCCACATCTGCTGCAGCAGCCACGCCAGAGCTCCACCTCCTATCCTGTCCCCATGGAAACCAAGGGGGGGGGGTTAGCCACTGACTGGTTTCCATTAGAGCAGCCTGCTTTTCTGGAGCCCTGCCCCTGAGCTTCAAGGCCTCCCCAGAGACTTCTTCCTGCATTTGCTGAGCACCACTTAGTCTATGCCAGCGAGCCCAAGGGTCCCAGCATTGCCTACACTGGCCGACTTACATCAGGGGAGTATCAGGTGGGTTCAGGGCCCTGCCAAACTCTGGGGATGCTTTGGGTCTTGGCAAGTTACGGTATTAGGACTTGGTGCTTCCTCACCGAAGACTATCACTTCAGAGATTTTTATAGCCCAGAAACCTGTGTGCCTGACTGAGTCCTGCCTGGATTCCAGAGCTCCCACCCAGCCATAGAACCTAGGGGTCGTTGGACCCCCTTTCCTATCTTTGGGCCTTGGCTGCCCCATCCACAACATGAGAGGGTCAGCAGCTTTGCCTGAGTGCCTTGTAGATAGACTTTAAAAAGAAGGAAAAAGGGAAGGAGGGAAAGGAAGAAAAGAAAGAGAAAGCGGAGCCACGTCAGTGCTGGCTCCTCTAGGTTCCCAGGCCCGGGTTTTGCTTCCTTTCAGAAAAGGTTTTTAAGGAAACTTGGTCATGGAATGTAACAGAGATGGTGGTTGGAGAGGCCCCGGGCCAGCCGGAGCCCTCAGCATCTGTTTGGCACCCAGTGACCTGGCTATGAATGCAGCAACAGGAGGCTTCAGTCCTGCCAGCGGGTTCTGCAAATGACTGGAGAGGTTTCCAGAGATCCGAAATGTAGGCTGAAAATGAGATCCAGCTTTTAAAACCTCGGTGGGTTCATCCCTAGGAAGGTGGGGAGGCCTGCAAAGGGGATACACACTGGCTTTGTAAAATTCACTCAGGGGCTGTATGTATCTATGGTAGCTCAGCCTGGCTGGCCTTTATACCAGTGGCACGGTAGCATGCTACCCTCCTTCATGGAATCGGGAAGCTGCATTAGAGTATGGGCATAGTGCTTGGGGCACCGGCTCTGGGGAACTTTGGGGGCAGCCTCCACATGGGAAGATTGGCTCCTGTCCGCTTGTGAGGGACCATCGAGGGTGCTGGTACTACTGAGGCTACTGAGTTCTACCCATGTTGATCCCACCCCAATGATGAGAACCGCTGGCACCAGGCCATTTAAGTCATCCAAGCCACTTGCATTGCCTCCTGCGCCTCAGTGTTTTCATCTGCAAAATAGACACAGTGACTGGGACTCTGTGTGAGAGCTAGATGAGAGGAGGGGTTAGGGCTGGATAAACGGCAGCAGGCAGTATCTAAATGGTATCAGTGCAGGGTCCTTAGGACGGAGAGAACAGGCCACACGTTCCAGTTGCTACTCCCCGTGTACTCGGAACCCTGCCTTGATATTGTCTCTGTTTCATTCCCATTCAGGTGCCACCCCAGCCTCCCATCCCTAGGCCACCTGGGGTTACTGGCCCATCCCTGTGTCAGGGAAAGTAGCTCGTGAGGATGCTGACTTTATACCTCCAAGGAATGGGGTGATGGCATTTTCATTCTTCTGCCCTGGGCAGGGAGGAAACTTAGGTGGGGACGGTGGCCTCTGGTGGCTACAGTCCAGCCTGCAAGCATACAGCCTCGCAGCTGCAGGCCAAAAGAGCTGGAGAAAGCAGCATGTTGAGCCTGGCCTGGACTGATTTAGACATTCAGGAGACTAGAAAAGCGTAGGAAATGAAGGAAATTTCCCCAGGGAAGGGAGAGACAAGATAGAGGAGCTTAAGTGCCTGGATAATTACAAAGCATGGCCTGATGATTTACTGCCAGGCAGCCTGGCTCCTCTAACTGCCTCCACTACCCATCTTTCTGGGCCCCCCATGCCCTAGAGACCAGCCATGGGGAAGGCAGAGAGGCCATGGACACTGCCCCACACCCAGCCTCACATTGTCTCCTGGAGTTGGGCTCAAAGTCAGCTCTCACAGGAGGCACTATGAAGGGGACCAAGCTTCACTCTGTGCTGGGCTCAGACATCTGGTATCCGGGTGGCTTCAGAGAACTCGGACCTGACCCAACCCCATTCTGTAGACTGAGGAAAGGGGGCTATGAGATCAGGCCCTCACAGTCAACACACTAGCCTGTGCTAGAATGTTGCAGGGACCGTAGTAGACAGCTAAAAAGACTGCCTGTCCCTCCCACCTGAAAGAAGGCTCCCATCCATTCTCAGTTGAAGACCAATCTCCTGAATGGAACATTTATTGTGGTTTGTTTTGAGACAGGGTCTCACAGTGTAGCCTTATCTAGTTTGGAACTTGCTGTGTAGACCAGGTGGGCCTTGAACCCACAGAGATCCACCTGCTTCTGCTCCTGGAGTACTGGGATTAAAGGTGTGTGCGCCATGCCCAGGTCTTGGAGGAACTCTTGACAAGCCTTGTGTCTCCACAACTCTTTTTTATTTTATTAGGACCCCATGTCACTATGTAGAAGCCCTCCAAACCTTGTGCTCACCACCTATACTGTGGACATACAGCTCCTGTGGTCCTCTCACCCGTGTCTACGCTGGGAGCTCCTCGGGAAGGACAGCTATCACCACTCATGGTCTTACAGCCTGACTCAGGTGTGTTTGGGGGCAACTTTCTGGAAGGAAGGTCTCCATGCCTCCACGTGAGGCACTTGACTGGGGCCTCTCCCAGGACTTTCTCCGGTGCCATGAAACCCAGTGCCCTCGAGGGCTGATCTACCTGTGTGGAACTGCAGCTGTCTTGTCTGCCGTCTTCCTGTTTGTCATTCACCTTCCGGGTTCTGTGATCAACACATACACTGTGTCTTTGTCTAGCGAAGCTGGTGTACTGTAGCTTGATTCTAGCTGTATAACAAGTGTGCACTGGAGTTCATTGTGGACTGGGGGGTAGGAGCTGTGTAGCCAGGGACCCATTTCTCATCAGCCTTGGCCTTAGTGACCCATCTGTCTCACTTTAGTCCTGATATTGGTGGGTAATTGGAAGGTTCTAGAGTCCCGATTAGAAGCAGCTGTCTTGAAAGCATTCCTGGGCTTCAACCTGAGCCCCTACATCTGAAGTCTCCCTAGAGACCAGGAGGATTGACCCACAAAGCTGCATGTGTCTATTGTATAGATAAGACACTAGGAGCAACCACCTACTTTCCCAGCCCAGATGCTAGGACGCTGTCACCTGGAGGGCACTCGTGCAGTGCCCAGCCCAGCCCATCAGTTTCCTGACACATGGGGACCACTATGGGGCAGGTGTACGCACGTGCACGCTGCAGCATGCAGCGCATGCGCAGCACACACACACACACACACACACACACACACACACGAAGGTGGGTTGTGTATGCCAGGTCAGATATGGCCTCTGCTCTCTTTTCCTTTGTGTCCTAGGCTTTGGTTCATGAATGCAAAGTTAGCCATCTGTCCAGAGAGAAACTGACCTTGCCTAAGTTACCACTATGTGTTTGTCCCCTAAAACAGAGACATTCCCAAAATGTGTGTGATGTGGAAGCGGTTAGCACTATCCGCCAGCATGTGCAAGGCTCCTAACAGAAGCAGATACCACAGGAGCTCTACAAGGCCAGTAACCCCCTTGTCCAGATAGCTAATGACCACAGCAGTGGAGTCACTTTAGGGTAGGACCCTTGTGTTCTAGAATGTTCTGAGTCTTTTATCTGAAAAAAAATCTGAAAAGAAACCAGGACTTGATTTCCCTGTTATGCTGGCATCACAGACACTGGCATCATTTGTGAGACATTCCTTAGCATTCTAGGTGGGAGTGCAGATGGCCTTGTGTCTGGTGGTGGCTTGATTTTTCAGCGTCAACTGGACATTAGTGGGAGCTGGTGGTTGCTTGTGGGAGACTCCCCTGAGAGTGCCTGGTGGATGGATAGGAAGCTCACACCTGGTTGCTTTCTCACTCCCCTATGAAATCCATGGGTATATAGTAGGTATAAGTGGCTGCTCTTAGATACATAAGTGTGGCTTGGAGCAAACAGGTTCCTGAAGGCCATGCAGCCTGGGAGATCGTGTTTGGCTACTTGGCTTTGGCTAGAGCTGAACTTCTCCTAGGGACAACCATTCTGCCAATCTAGATGGATGCTATGGCCCCACTGGACCCTGCAGATAGACCTAATTGTATGGTTGTAAGTCTGGGTAGGAATGAGGCGGGGGTAGGGCTGGGCTGCCTGGTGTTTGGTCTGAAAAATTCAGTTCTACCTTAATGGGTCATGAACCATGAAGATGGCCTAGAGAAGTCCTGTCACACCAGTAACTATAGCATGGAGCAGCTCTTAGAGACAGAAGGACAGCTTTGGGAGGCTCATCAGCCTGAGAGGGAGCACATCTCTGTGGTTTATCCACAGGTTCATAGGACAGATAATGTAGTATCTGTCTACCCTTGGATCCCGGTGGGGTCCCCCGTCCAGGTCCCTGGAGGTCACTCAGCTTTGCTGTTTCATTACTGCCATGGGCAGAGCGGGTGAGAAAAAGCAAACACAGGGCCACGTCTGAATTGAGAGGGGGCGTGGCAAAGCCCTCTACAGCCAGAGGCCCCATGAGCCCCCATCAGAGCTTGCCAGCAACGCACAGCCAGGAGCTCTCCTGTGTTACTAAGGGTGGAACCAGGGTCCTCAGAACCACTTAGGGACTGCAGGCAGGAGCTCTATACTGTCAGCATGGGAATCGTAGGCCTTCCTGTGTCCAGAGTGGGCCTGGAGTAACTTGTGTAGCCTCAGCCATTGACCCCATAGGACCATGCTCAGCCCCATCAAGAGTCTGGTCAACATCCCTGTTTCCCATGGCTGAACTTCTTCATCCTGTGTCACGTGGCCCTGCACCTGTGACCTTGTTTAGAGACGAAGTTGTGCTGTTTAGAAAGTGGGTGCTCTCCTGCTGGCTCTCTGGACACCCCACCATGTGGAAGTTCCCTTCTTGGAACCCAAACAGGTGCAAAGCTTTACTTGCCTGTCCGGGCTGCAGTGTCTGTAAGCAGCAGGCAGCCGTCCCGAGATCATTAAATTGGGCAATCTACACCATGGGCCACAAAGTGGAGGGGGTTTTACTTTTGGTCCAGGCCAAAAGAAGGGATGGGTGGGATCTAACTGTCAGGTAAGGATTGGAATGACCACGGGACAGTCCCTTCTCAAGAGATAGGGTCAGAGGCTCACACTTAGCAGCCCTAGCCCTGGGCTCTCCTCTTCCCTCTTGCCCACTAGCTTCTCTGGGACCTTCACAGCCCTGTGTGGATGATGAACAGCATGAAGCTCTTGTGGGCTCCCAGATCCACCTGTGGATACCAGCAGCCTCTGGAGATGGAGGGAGGTCCTTAGTGGGTCTCAGTGACGACACATTAGTAAGGAGCCCTCAGCAAGTCCCTCTAGTCTCTAGGTCTCGAGAGTTCGATGAAAAGTCACTCTCTGGAGAGAATGCTGTCACTGCTTTTGGCTTGTCCATGGGAGAGTAGTCCCTGGTCCTATGACAACAAATCCTGGAAAAGGCCACAATACAAAAGAGAATACCCCAAACCTTCTTACAACCCAGAGTTCATGGAAGTGTGGGTGCCTGAACCATGCTGGCTTCAGAAGGGCAGGAAAGAAGCAGGCAATTCTCTGCCCACAACCCAAACACTCAAGCTACATAGGGAAGAGAGAGCCTGGGAGCCATCCTGGCCAGGGCTGACTCCTGGTCTTGGTGTCCTGTTGTCAGTCCTGGCCTGTCCCCTTTCCTGGCTCATAATGACTACCAAAGTTACCTCTTGATAATGTCCCAAGGTCCTGTTTGTACCTCATAAACCCCAGATATCAAGTGTCATTCCCAGAGTAAGGCAAGTGGTGGGACACTTGTGGATGCCAGGGATATATGCTAGTTGAAGGACATCCTTGTCTCAAAGATCCCAAGTCTACAGGGGCAATACAGGCATTGTGAGGTGAGTGGGGGCAGGGACAGGACCCCCAGTGTTAGTGCTGTCTGACAATGCAGGCAGGGCTGATCTATGGTGTCTGAACTGTGGGTCATCTATGGTGGTAGAACATTCTGGCCACAGGGAATTATGGGAACCACAGTGGGGCTGGAGTGAAGGGAGGATCTTAGCCAGGCACTGGCAGCCAAGCCCCATGGGTTCTTCCTCTATAGTCCCAGAGGACTCTAGGGTAAGGGTTAGGTCTTCTTTGTGATTTGACTGCCTAGGAGCCAGGGCAGGGAGCTGGTTTGGAATGTGGTTCCTGGCTGGCTGGAACTGGTTAAAGCCAGACATGGCTCTCTGGGCTGTTCTGTCTTTTGTGATCTGAAACTTCAGGGCTCCGGTGCCAAGGCCACAGGGAATGGTGTGTGTGGGTCTTCTTACCTGGGGTGACTGTGGGAATAGCCAAGGAAGGGAAGGGAAGGCCACATTACCTGGGACCCTTCTCTGTGTCCAAGCCACATGTCCTGCCATGCTGACACCTTTGTTTTGATTTCCTTATGTCTTACAGAACATGACTGCTCTAGAGCCTCCCAGGAAAGTGAAAGCCTGTCACATGTACCAGAAGACCACATAGGACCTCATACACAGGTAGCTGTCTGCCCCATTAGAAATAGTCCTGGAGAGGATAGTGTGTTGGCAGACAAGAGTCCACAGTTGTTCTTTCAGAGAAGCCAGGACCAGTCCTCTCCTCAGAGGCTCTACCTGGTGCCAGGCCTGCCCTGCTCCCAACCCCTCAGGGTCTCAGCCTGGCCTCCAACCAGCAGGACAGATCCTTGCCCCGGCCAGGCCAGGAGACAGTGCCAAGGATTCCGGGTCCCTGCTTCAGCCCTGCCTTCTGCCCTGCAGGCTGTGATGGCCTGACTTGTCCTCTTGAAGCAGATGGAATCCGGCAGGGGCAGATTGCCGGTGGTGGAGGGCAGAATTAGCTCTGAGACAGCCCTTTGCGCCCAGTCTTGCAGTAGGCACACCTGGCCCTCTCCTCCAGCCTCCTTGCTACCTGTCTTCCATCTGGACAGTCTCCATCAGCGCTTCAGTCTCAGTGTATTGGTCCACAAAATGGGCAGGGATACCTGCTGGTGGGAATCAGGGGCTATACAGTGACCTCTGAATACCTGTAGCTCAGGGGAAAGACCCAGGGAGCTAGACAGTCTTTGGAAACTGTAAGTGCCTGTAGGTGGTAGACTGTGTAATATACTGGAACCAGAGTGTGGTCCCAGCTCTCTCCCCTCAGCCAGCCTCAGCAGGCACAGAATCAGCTCTCCATTACTCAGAGCCATTCACTTGGAGTCTGTGCTTGCTGGTGCTGCTCGGGAGGGTGGGTCGAGTCACTGTGTCTGCCTCTGTCCAGTGGGGGAAGCTGTGCTGGCATCTCTTATGGTATGACTGAGAAAGGCCCTGTATCTGGGAGCCTAGACCTGCAGGATTCCATGGCTTCAAGTTAGTTTTGAGGAGGGTGTGCAAGGGGCCTCGTCAATTGGGATGACCACTTGGCGGCCTGAACCTGTTATGCATCACTTGGGTAGGGCAGGGAACCCACTCTGTCCTTGCCAGGCTCTGTGTGCCATCCATCAGAGGTCCAGTAGCAGCAGTTTGGCCAGAGCTCTGAGGTTCTCTGGCAGTGTCATTACCTCCAGGGACTGCTTCTGTGTGTGGCTCATTCTTGCAGCCTCTAGGTCCTTGTAGGAGGGGGGTAGGCCCAGGACTTTATGAGATTTGAGCACCAACATTTGCCCGTGAGTCCACATGGATAGCCTCCTGGCCATGAGCTATCCCGAGTTCCAGGTGGCTCCTAAGCTGTGCCAAGGCCTTTGGGGGAGGGGGGCCCTTGTGGGTTGGTGTTGGTAGGAAACATAAATGCTAAGAGTGCTCGTGGATGTAATTCAACACCTAACTAATGTCTCTTTCCTTCTAGGCTTCAGCCGCTTCTTGACAATTCTACCAGGTGACCCCTGAAGCTCAAGGGCCATGCCCAACCCAGGTCAGTTCAGCATTCTGGTTTATGGAACCCAGGGCCTACCCCAACTCTCCTGGGTACTGCTGCGGGTTCGTGTAGGCCTTGAGGTTTGCATATGCTGCGTCTTGGTTGAGCAGTCTCAACCCCTGCCAGCTTCTTTCTGAGACTCTAGGACGTCTGGGCATATCCAGGTACCCAGGACACTAGACTGGGCCATCTTTCTGTCCCAGCCATCAAGAGGGAGATGGGAGAACAATGAGATGACCCCAGGATATTTGCACTACCCCTAGTAATTAATACTCAGCGCTCAGTGGTAAAGGTCCTTGCTTCCACTGCCACGGATAACTTGCAGTTATAACTGGGAACCTGTGCACTCGGGGCCTCTTGTACTCAGAGGTGGCAGCCAGCCTGGGAGCTCTGTTCACACTTGTCCCTGCCCACGAGGAGCCAGAAGCCAAGTACATCTCTGGACCCACCTAGATGAATCTAGATCCAGGGAACTGGTGTGGCCATGGTTAGGGACAGTCTCATCTCCTGGGCTGCAGGCAGAGCCCCACACCATCTTGTATAAGCCAGAGCAACCTGTATTTGGGCCTTCTGCTCCCACACATACTACCCTGGTCTCTGTGTCTGCACCTAGAGTCAGGGATGTTAGCCAGTGTCTGAGAGTAGGGCAAACAGATGGTGGGGCGGGGTTGGGGGTACTCTAGGGCTTGGTAAATGGGACAGGACAGAGCAGGAGAGACTTAGAGGAATACCTGGGCAATCCTCAAGAGTGCAGTTGGCCCAGGTATCCCTGGACACCTAGTAGCTCTTGGCCAAATGGCTCTGATTCATAGATCCTGGACTTTCCTGGGTACCTACCCTAAGCCAGACCTGCATGTGGTACCCTGTCTCAGCCACAGGCAACCTCCAGCACATGCAATCCTCCCAGTGCCCCACGGGCACAGATGAACATCTAGAGTCCAGTAGTATACCTTTTAAAAGGGCTCAGGCTGGGAATGTACCCCTGAGTCCTGAGTGATGATGTTTGTGGGAGCCTGCAGGTGCAGGGCTCCAGGAGCAAAGGTGGGGGTTCCAGAGGGGTCCTGAGCCAAGACATAAGAGGAAGGGTCCAGAACAGAAGAGGACAGGCTGGGTTGGGAAGAGTGGCCAGTCCCGGTCCATGACCCAGCTCCTACTTAGCACCACACACACAAGATGCACTGGGTATATACAGTAGGCGCTTACTCAGTGCTAGTGTTAGTGAGGGTGAGTTTCGGACACCCCACCCATTCTCCTTTCCAGAGACCTCTATGTAGAGAGAGCTAGCCCCATCTCACTCGTGGCCTGGGGACACCAGGCTATGAGGTTGTTGAGATACCAGCCTAGACTGGGGGGCCATGGAAAGGTTGGGGCTCTAGGGTTCAGTTGGCAAGGTTGGAATTGTAGCCCATGAAATTTGCCCGACTGGCTCTTGGCCTGGGGGATCTGAGCACAGGCAAGTCCCTGGCCTTGTGCCCTCCCCTCCCCACTATCCAGCCATGACCCACATCCACCATGCTTATAGTGTTGGCCCCAGCAAGTAGCCAACCACAGCCAACCACCAGCCCAGCAAGAGGTGGCCACATGGCCTTGCACAGTCTCTAAGGGAAACTGAGGCTCAGGGACAGTGGGCTGGACTTCCAGATTCCCAAGGTCTGTCACTCCTAACCTAGAGACCAGCTGCCCCAGGGCCCTATGGAAGGTGAGGAAGAACCCAGATTTATCTAATAGCCAGAAACTGTTGTGTTTTTTAGATAAGGTCTCTAGCCTAGGCTGACCTTGAACTCTTGATCCTCCTGCCTTCACCTTTTGAGTGCTTGGATTATGGGTGTGAGCCACCCCACCCAGTTTATATAGTGCTGGGGATCGAACCCAGGGTTTGAGGCTTGATAGGCAGGTCTGAGCTCTGGCTCCAGATCTCCTGAAATATTTTTCAAGGATTTTTAGCCAGGTGGTGGTGGTACACATTTTTAATCCCAGCATTAGGGAGGCAGAGGCTGGCGGATCTCTGAGTTCGAGGCCAGCCTGGTCTACAGAGCAAGTTCCAGGACAGCCTCCAAAACAATACAGAGAAACCCTGTCTGGAAAAACAAATTAATGTGCATCAGTGTTTTGCCTCCATGTGTGTCTCCTGGAACTGGAGTTACAGATTGTCGTGAACCACCACATGTATCTGGGAAGGTCCTCCAAAAGACCACAAGGGGCTCTTAACTGCTGAGCCATTGCTCCAGCCCCAGAATACTCTGTATTTAGTCTTACAAATACCTTGCGTTGGGTCGTTGGCCCAGTGCAATTGATAACCCACACAGTCCCAGATTTATTCTGGCATCAGCTCTGTCTCCATGTGGTACTCCAGCCTCCAGCTCCCAAGGACCCCCTTCCAGCCAGGCTGAGTGAAGATGATTCGAAAGACATGTTCCCAGGGAAGTTAGAAGGCCCTGTGGAAGGCACGGTTGGCCCTCCGTGACATGGAGCTTCGTGGAGCTCTCAGAGAGGCGCGGACCCTCTGAACGACTTTGTGACCTGTCACAATGTTCCTACCGTTTTCTAGTCCCTCATTCCTCGAACTTGGGAGGATGAAAACTCTGGTGACTGGGGGGGGGGGCAGAGTCACAACCTCTCTGTGCTCCACCCTTTAGCCAAGGATCCCATTGCCACCAGGACAAAGTAAACCCTGGTTGTGAGGGACTTACCAGTGCCTGGCACATTGAAGATACAAAATGCTCCCATTTCCTGGGCCTGGTGGCAAAGGCCTGTGATCCTTGTTACTTGGGAAGATTTGAAAGTTTGAGGCCAGCCCAAGCTGTATAGAGTGAACTCAAGGTCAGCTCAGGAAACTTAGCAAAACCCTCAAAATAAAATTTTTTGAAGGGTTAGAGATGTCACTTAGTGGTAGAGGCTTGGGTTCAGCCCCCCCGTACCAGCTCCCCAAACTGTGTCCATGCCTATGGGTCATTAGTGTGCATCCCACTCTGGCTCGTGAGTTTACAGCACTCTCGAGTGGATGGGGATTTGAAGCCAGAACCATGTGGCTTCCTACTGAGGAGAAGCCGTTAGTGATTAAAAGAGGCCCCCGTGCCGTTAACACTCTAGAGTTCTCAGGACTATGATTGTACAAGTGATGACTGATGTCACCATGGCAGTGTACACTGTAAGGATGATATGGACTCCTCTCAGTTCCAATCTTGTTTTTGTTTTGTCACAGGCCCTGCCCTGGATTCATGTGGACCCGACAGAGGCCTGAGCCCTTGGCTGTGTAAGTTGTATCTCTTCTATGACCCAGCCACCCTGCAAGGTGGCTTCTGTGACTGTAGCGTCCCTGCCCCCCTGGGCTTCAGACTAAATACCTGTGAAGTGGGCTGTTCTCAGCACATTTTTTTTTTATCTGCACAGGTCAAAAGGAGGCAGCCTGAGGTGGGACCTGTATCCCCTTAGAGCTGTCCTCTGCCTCTAGTTTGTAACTGGATCCTGAATAAGACACAGCATAGGGTGGGGATGGGCACAAAGGAACCCTACAACACCTGGATCCACCCTCTGTGGGGCTCCGCCGTTAGTCACTGAGTGCCTAGAGATGCTTGGAGACCAGCCATGGTGAGGGGGCCGCGGGACCCCTGGGCAGAGGCCAGAAAGGGGGTGTGAATAGATGCTGGTCACTTGTTTAAGAAGCAGCTGGAACAAGATGAGAAAACAAGAGCCATCCTAGCTAGAGCCGTAGAAACTGGGAGTGGGATGCAGCCTTAGGGTCCTGAAGAAAGTCCTGTGATGGCTGCCTTGGCAACTGATCCCTTGACCTGTTGGCCCAGACAGAAGGAGCTATCTAGCCCACTAGTTACTGGAGTACGAGGTGGTACCTGAGCCCCCGGCTTAAGGCCTTCCCAGCTGGGACAGACAAGGACGTGTCTTGCAGAGATTCTAGAGCAGAGAATTGTAACCCAGAAAAGCTCGGGCCCGGGAAGCCTCACCATGGGCCACCCGGAACCCCTCGAAAGGAAGTATGGTAGTCCCTAGAAGCCCTGAGCGTGCTTGTAGCTTGGGCAGGAGGAAGTCTCTGGAAGGAGGCTGCTTGACCCACGTTCTCTGACCAGACGGTGTCGGGCCTCGGCACGGGGCAGAGCCTTGTTTCGTTAGGTTGCTCCCCCTCCTCCCTGCCAGGCCTCCCCTGGTCCCACCCTCAGGCTTTCACAGCCTTTGTCCTCCAAGGATGCCACAAAATGGCCGACACAGCCCTCCGCCATTTTGTAACAGAAACAAGCAGTAGCCTTGGAGAGGAGGAGACCCCTGCTTCCCGCCTGCCCTGAGTGGCCTGGACAGAGCCCAGGACCAGCCCCCACCCTGCTTGGCTTTGGCCATGGCTGCCCCGGACTTGGCACAGCCAGATGCTTGGCAAGGCAGCCTGAGAGTCCTGGCCCCTTAGCCAGCTCCGCTTATTCCTTGCTGCCCACCAAGCAAACCGAGAAGAGGCTGCACCCCGGAATCCAGAAAGTCCACCACTAACACTATACTTTTAGAGGGAGTCCTTGGCAGGGGTGGGGCCAGCACGATGGTTCTACAGATGATATCTGCACTGTGGTACCAGGTTCCTGAGTAGAGCCATCAACAAGCATAGATTTACATTAGGTCCCCCGGAAAGGAAAGCCCCTGGCCTCCAGATGCCCCTCATACCTTGGGGCTCCCTGGCTGAGTGTGATATAGAATGCCAGCCAGGGTGTCACAGTGGCCAGTCCATCTGCTGACCTGGGTAGCCTATGATGTCAAGTAGTTCAGGTGCTTCCTTTGCTCCAAGAGCAAAACCACCTACCAGGCCACTGAGGCTCAGAGGAACAGGAAGCCCCCCTCCCCATCACACTGTTCATCTGCCTTCCCAGAGGTCAGAAGCAGCACATCCCAGAGTGATGCCTTATGATGCCATCCAGGTCCACAGAACCCCAGCAGCCCTGGCTCATTATCCTACTGACAGCCATTCTGGCTTCCCAAGGTAAGAGAAAAGGGGGCGACCCTTAAAAGAAGCTGGAAGGTAGTTCCCCGCGCAGTAGGGAAGGATGTGGATTACAATGTCTTTGAATCTTCCTGGGTAGCATGGGGGTTGCTCCATGGCCCTGCCTGGCTCCATGCTCTCTGCCAGGATAGCAAGAAGCTGTGTATAGACCGAAGGGCCCAGCTGCCCCATTTAGGAAGCTAGCTGAATGCCGGCCCCAGACCTCTTTCCCACAACTCCTGGGAAAAACAGTCTGTGGCTCTGCAGTGAGGCTTGCCCAGGCCATGCCCCTCTTCCAGGGAGACCCCCAAAAATGTCCAAAGCCCAACTACCCAGACCAATGCCTTCTCAATGTGCCAGGCCAGGATGGATCTTCCTGGGGTCCTGGAGGGGAGAACCTAGAACAGGAAAAATCTCCCAAGGAAGGGCCATGCCTAGAGGGAGGTGACAGAGGGGGCTGTCAAAGAGCAGGCAGAGTCCATGCCCCGCAATGTGACATCTGTAGTCATTTCCCATGACCTGGGTGATGCTTGGGTGGAGGGTATCTGCAGATGAGTACACACCTCGCTGGTCAAAGCTGGTAACCCATAGCCTAAATGTCCAGCCCCAAGCTGAGTCTAGGGAGCAGAATGCACTGCACAGTGTACAACAGGCCATCTGTGCTTTGCCCTAGGTATAAGCCAGCGGCTTCCTCATGACTCTCACTACTGTCCATACCAGACAGCTATCTCCCTAGCTCTCCAGAGGGGGCACAGAGCCAACTGACTTTGTCTCAGACTCTGTTTCCAGATGGAGGGAGCTAGGCTCAGGTCTGGGCCTCTCCAGCCAGCCCAAGACCCCGAATTCCCGCTTTTCACTCTCGAGTTTTGCTATGGGTCACAGTGTTCATTACCTCTGTTCTAGGAGTGAGCATGCTCCCAGGGTACTACAAAGTCCACCCAGAGCCCAGCGCGGGTCAGACCCATCCTGGGATCAGCATTCGGTGGCAGAGCCAGAGAAAGCCAGGTCCAAGGCATTTAGATGCCAGCTCCAGGACTGACCGTGCATATCTGCGATACACTTTTGGAAGAGGGTATTCAAGCCTATGGTGCACTTCCCCCACAGACCTGCCAGAACCCAGGCTGAAGCCCAGGGATACTGAGCAAACCTGGATCATCTTCGCTCACAAATGATCTTGTATTGTCTCGGGGGCGTTTGCATTAGTCATTTCTCTAAACGTCACACAAAGGCGTTACTTGTCTTGGTCACCCCTAGCATGCCTGTGTTAGCCAGACCCACAATGGTCCTCAGTAGGCATGGCCTGCCTCTGGGCACACCAACCCAGACCCAGTCAGCTAGCATGCATCTTGTTAACTTTATGGGCCCTGTTCACAAGGAGGCCCGCCTTCTGCCCAGCCGGATGCCACCCCTCCCATCGTTCCCAGACTCGCTGTTGGCACGGCCTACTGAGCAGAGACACTGGTCGCTTTATGGGAGAAACCTAATCAGGGAGGCCAGGAGAGGGGGGCTGCCATGGGGGGGGTCTGGCTCTTGGTGGCCCCAAGCCAAGCCTGAGGTGACTTCAGGGTGACGCCGTCTGTCTGCCTCTCTCCCTCCAGACATCCGCCTAGCCCTGAAAAGGCCACCTGCCTGCCTAGGCCTTCAGTGCACCTGTCCTAGCCAGCCTGGCTCCTCCCCCAGGCACCCTGCCCATGGGTAGACACCGCAGGACTGGGACAAGGTTGGGAGGTGGCAGCTGGCAGGTGGCAGGGCGTCTGCTGACTGCTCACTCCCTGGCGACCTGTTGAGGATGACCAATTCATGTCACTGCCCTCCCTGCCACTGGCCCTCCTCCAGCCTGGCACCGCTGGGCCCCTTTGGTTTGTTTTAGGACCCCTTTCCTGTTAGCCCTTGGGAAAGGAAGCATTTTTGTGGGTCCCAACCCCCGGGGCTGAGGTCAGTGGCCAAGGCCTGACTGTCACACAGGTAGGCCTGGGACATCTAAACACTCCCCAAGCATGGATCTGGGACTCTTCCTCACTCATTCACAAGTATCTCTGGAGATGGCCACAAACCAGGAAAGGGTGACCCTTCCTGAAGTCTTGTGGAACCAGCGTAAGCCCTCTGGGTAGGGCAGAGCTGCCTAAGAACTGAGGAGACCTTGGCAGCCACTCCCGCAACCACAGCATGGAGAGACACCTGAGGGAAATGGGTTCATGGCAGGTACCTGTGGGTCAGCCTCACTAGACCCAAGCCCTGGGCAGAGAGAGGCCCCCTGGAGAGCAGGAGCCTTGTGGAAAGAAACAGGAAAAACGGGTCAGCAGTTCCTGGCAGAGGGGCAGTTCAGGGCAAAAGCCAGGAGGCAGGGAGGACCTGGGAGATGGCCAAGGAGGGCAGAGGAGGCTTGCCCAGGGCACTTTGCTGCTTTATGGGTTGGGGGCAGGGCTGATAGGCACAATGGGAAGGACCAGAGAAAGGGTGTCAATGTGATGGATAGCTTGGCCATCTTGGGGGTGCAGGCAGGGCTGGCAGGCAGGGAGGGAGGGGGCTGTCCCTCCCTTGTGTCCTCACCAGACCCTCAATAGCCAATGGCCTCATCTTCCTTTCCTTGAGCTGTGTGGGAAACAAGGCTTGTAACAAACCACTCTGGCTTGATGGACAGAACTAGGCAGATCCCGAGCAGGGCTGTCTCTGTATTCCACACCCCAGGCTCCGCTCCAGAGACCATCAGCTGGCCACACTGCTCCCTCACGGCTACCATGTCTCTGCTTGGTCCTCCATCTTTCTGCTAGTTCTGCCGAGAGAGAGAGAGAGAGAGAGAGAGAGAGAGAGAGAGAGAGAGAGAGAGAGAGAGAGAGAGAGAGAGAGAGAGAGAGAGAGTGTGTGTGTGTGTGTGTGTGTGTGTGTGTGTGTGTGTGTTCAGGCACGTCTTGCCCTATGTCCCAGGGAAGCTGCATCTTGATGACAACCTCTAGAGAGGATTAACCCTCTCTCCAGGGTCCAGTTAATTAACACAGTGTGCATGAGGGCCAGTGTGAGCCTGTCCCCTCGTGGTGCTTCCTCCCTGGGGTCCCACAGCCAGTGGCTAGGTGGGCTACTGGCCACCCACATAGACTTGCCTGCCACCATGGATGAAGTTTGAGTCCTAGTCTCTGGCCAGCATGTCCAGCACAGGCCTGGTTTCAGAGGCCATCCCATCCAAGGCTTCTCATGCAGAGTGGCACCAGGCAGTAGACAGACAGATGAAAATGTCACTGTGCTGTGGGCTAGCAGGGTGCAGCCAGGGGAGGCATCAGGGACCAGGCTTTCTCCTTTTGGAAGCGGTTGATTGTTGCTTTTGTTTCTAAACCCAAGCAGGTCAGGAAGTGATGCAAGCAGGAGCTTCTGCGCGAAGTTGATACCCCCGTGGTGAGTGGGGCCCCACTGGCCTTCCTTGGGAGAGCTGGGAGCCATGGGAGACATCAGAGTGGGAAAGACTAGGGTCCAAACCACATCTCTGCCACTGCTCCAGGGCCCCAGCTTAGATGCCTTTACCTGGAGGCCTGTGCTCCCTCCCCCCAGGACTGTGCCTCCCACCTGGAGACTGCCCCCAGAAGGTTCATCTCATCTACCCATGATGCACTGTGATACGGTGATCTTTGAACGCATATCAGCCTACCCAGGCTGGACGTGGTTTAACGGAGCTGCAGTTCTGTTTGTTATTGGTTCTGAGTGGAAGAGGCACGGCCCCTCTACCCTGAGTCTACACTGTCTACAGGCTCACACCCTTCAGGTCACCCAGCCCTGAGAGCTCTCTGGAAACCTCACAGGCAGCTCTCTTTTCTCTCTGTCCCCCATGGCCATCACTCACTCCCCCAGTATGATCCTAATACCCCCATGTCACCTGGCATTGATGGAGGACCTGCCAGGGGAGTCGTGTCTGGAGGGAGAAGAAAGGCCAGGTGAGGGAAGCAATCGCATCTGTTCCCAGGTTGGGCTAAGGCTCAGAGGGTGGCGGCCATGGTCAAGGAGGGACCAGGATGCTTGTCTCCCGTTATTTTTCTCCTACAGCTTGAACCCTGCATGGCTTGTGATGCAACGAAGCCCGAACTCGGGGAGGGTAAGCAGGGGCAGATGCAAGACAGGCACTTTTGGATGTCACAGTAGCATACACTAGCCTCCTGCTGATTGCTCACTAGAGTGGCCAAGGAGCTGCTGAGAATCCCCAACGGTCAGCTAAAGGGACCCCACAGAAATGCAAGTGTGCCAAGATTTACCCATTGAGGAGGCAGCCCAGGCCTTCCAGGCAGTCCTGCTCACGATACTGTATCCTGTCAGCCAGGCACAGAACCCAAAGCATTGAGAGGCCTGTGTCGAAGTGTGCCCTCTCTCCTTGTTCAAGGAGCTTCTGAGGGGTGCAGATGGAGACAGCCAAAGTAGCCACTAGTCATTCTTCCACACCCAGGTGCATCCTGGGAACTGACACGGTTAACCATGGCCAGTCAGTGATACCTCCATCTTCCCACCTGGTCCACTCATCATAGATGGGAACATCAGGGGACCCTGAGCCACTTTCTTCCAATGCGTCTTCCTGCCTTGCTGGCCCTGCTTGGACCATCCTTGGGGATATTTGTCCTTTCTGTTCATGAAAGGGTCCAGGCTTGAGGCAGGGAATAGCACCCCAGTGGCTCTCATAGAAGTCCTTCGGGGGCTAGACAGTACCAGCATACTGGGAGGCAGGGAGGGAGGCAGGCAGGCAGGTAGGCAGGTGTGGCATCAGGTGCTGGGGTTCATGCCCAGAGCAAAAGCTGCCTGGCTTCCTGGGCCTGGGCACAGAACCTCCCTCTGCATTGCTGGGCAAACCTTTCTGAGGCCTGAAAGACACAACCCCTTCCCTTCTGATAGCAAAGTCACGTGGGACTAGAGACTCTGAGCCTTCTGGGCCTCAGTTTCTTCACAGTGATCGGCCTCACAACTGGAGGGTTAGATGCGCCCAGCCTGATGGCTGCCCAGGAGAACTGGAGAGAGGCCTGCGGTGGAGTCTCCAAGCCTGTGTTGGTACCAGGGAGCAGAGAGCTACAGAAGCTTCTTACAAGGTGGGCAGAGTACTCCACACAGTGCTACTGCTCAGCTGGGAGGCCGTAGGCCTTGCTTATAAGATGGGCTTACAATACGTTTGCCCAATATTCCCCAGCTAGCGGCTGTGAACAGTGCTTATAGCCTGACCGATTCCCAGAGTGGGCCTTACCTGTCCCGCACAGTGAGTATCATCATCCACACCAGGCCGTCTGTCCTTACTAGGGCATCCTCCCTGCTGGGTTCTGTCCAAGGCTCTGGGAGCCCCAAGCTTAGAGCCAAGCACGGAGCCCTTGCTGGCTTCAGGAAGGGCTCGTCGCCAAGGACAGACTGGACATCAGTGTCCAGCCAGGGTCTGCACTTCCGCCCAGCTGGCCACCATGGGGAGCTAGGCTGCCTCCCACAAGGAAAAAAAAATGATTTTGAGCCTCCCCCAGCGAGGTCAGCTCGGGCCACTCTGAGGGGAGGCAGGGACTAAACCCTCAAGGAGGGGCTTTTCCTGTGTAAGAGGAGGAGGATGCTTGCCCAAGGCCACTGCCTAGCAGGAGTCCTGGTGCCTCCAACTCTACTTATGCTAGAGTTGACTGCACAGAGCCTGGGTCTCAGCCAGGCGGACACTGGGAGCTCCCTGGACCTGGCTGGCCTTTGACAAGTGACTCCCTTCCCTCATTGTGGCCATTCCTGCCTAGTGACTTGTCACCTTTTCCTCTCTACTCCCCCCCCCCCACTTCCCTCATTGTCTCTGCTCGGTGATTTTGTCTAAGTGTCTGGCCCACTTTGGGGGAGCCCCAGCCCACTGCTGGCTGATACCCTTAGCACCAAGCTGGCCATGTTGGGCCCCTCACCTTGTTCCCAGCTGTCCTTCTTCCTCTAGGAGGCATCTCAAGAAGCCATAACCTCCAGCTCTACACCAAGACTGACTGACGGCCTTTGGGGTGAGGTAGTAGGTTGTATGGTTTTGGGCTCTGCCCCGCTCTGCGGTAACTATACAATCTACTGTCTTTCCTGAAGTGGCCGCAATATCTGCAGAGGACACAACGCCAGCCCTGTCTGGGGAGGCCGAGGGAAGTACAGGGAGCAGTAGCTGCCATGCAACAAGAACTTTGGACAGGGACCTTGGACAGTCCCTTGACCTCTCTGGGGTGTGGGTGTAAAAGCAGACATGTGGCATTTCCAGGGCACCTCCTTTCCCTTTACTACACCGAAGGGGACCCCATCATATTCGGCCTGGGCTCACAGGCCTCCCTAAGGAAAGGGTTCGGACTGGACCTTCAGCTCTGTTCCAGAGCGGTGACATACTCCAGGCCTGGCATATATCCAGACTTTCCAACTCAAAGTCAGGCTTCTGATGAATGGCAGCATGTCCATCTCCATAGAGTCAGGGCATCTTTTACAGGAAAGATGTGAGAGGAAGGTCCTTAGCATGCCTGGGTACCCCATGGGCACAGCCTGCAGCTGGCCAGTGTAGGCCACTGTCCCTGGGGTGATGGGTTCAGACCCTGGAGACCTCCCTGATCCATCTGGTGGGTACGGGCCTTTCTTGCTGAGCCACTGTCTCTGCTTCCCCACCTGCCCTGTGCCAGCTGTGCCCTCTGGCTCTGGTGGCCTGTGGCCAGGGTGGGTGGGGAGCGGCTGGGCCTCCTCCAGAATGTGGACACCGCAGGGTGAGGTAGTAGGTTGTGTGGTTTCAGGGCAGTGATGTTGCCCCTTAGAAGATAACTATACAACCTACTGCCTTCCCTGAGGGGCCCAGCGGCGCATCTACTTGGAGGCCCCTGCTCAGCGAGCCACGTGGAGAGCCTGTGCCACAGATTGGGTGGGAGCTGCAATGTGGGGCCTGGATAAAAATAAAGGCTGTTCTGACATGAATTTGCAACTGGTCCTTGGTCATTCGGAAATAGACGACTAGTGACTGAGGGCATGAGAGCGCCGACCACACGCACCGTTGGCATGTTTGTGTGAACGAAGCATTGCCAGTAAGAGCTGCTCGGGGTAGTGACTATTGCCCCTCTCTCATATTGCACTTGCCCCCCTGCCACCCAAGCCCTGCACGGGGCACTTGGCCTCGACACCAGTGGAGCAACAGACCCTGTGACTCCAGGCTGACTTCAGCCCACGGCCCTGACCAGATCCAAGGAAATCCTGTCCCTTCATGCCTGCCTCTCTCGGGACAGTATTGGGGTGGCCCTGAATGTAACTTTCCATCCTTAGGCCAATGGTCATGTACCTTTCTACCAGGGGTCCTAATCCTTCGTTCGGGCAGCTGTAGAGGTAAGTCCTCAGCTAGTCTGTTCTTTCTTACCTGACCAGATGCCCGGGTGGGTGTTGGGATGGCTGGGTTGATACCTTGGCCATGGTGTCCTGGCCTTCTCCCATGGTAAATGCCATTTGTCCCAGCTTCCATCCTGAGTCCTGCCTGACCTGCCTCAGCTCTGGGGACCCACACACCTGCATAGTTACACCTGGGCAGACCGGCAACCTTAATACCCATCTACGTCCATCCTTGGCTACTGGGCCTCCTGAACCTAGCCTGCCACTCCCAAAGATCAAATACTGTGTAAGCAGACTGACGTGCGGGCAAGTCACACCCACCTACTGACCCCTACACTGCAGTGGGAGGCGGCCTGGGCCCTGCAGGGCTCTAGTACTCCAGATACAGACAAGGACACACAGTGGCCACCTGTGGAGGTAGCCCCAGGGGCACCTGAGAGCCCTGAAGAGCCCTGTAGCCAGGGTAGCTCCCTGAGAGATGGCATCTGCCCTGTCCTGCGTCTGTCACTAGAGACAGGGATGCATGTGCGGGGGGGTGTCAGAGTAGGAGCTACCCAGCCCTCTGCAGAATGGAAGTTCTAGAGTCCTGCACCTCGGGAGACCCTGTTCGTACTCCCCCACTTCCACATCCTACTGTGGGAACAAAACGGCCCCACTTGAGAGGGTGGAGTCACGATTCCAGGATGTCCTAGATGATCTTGCTAGGGGGAAAGTCCACAGGAAGGTCCTGGTCCCTGGTCAGGTACCTGATGCCACCTGCTGGCCAGTCTAAGAAGTGGATCCTGGGCTGGCCCCAGGGTACCATGGGGGAGGCTGAAGGGGCAGAGTGCTCTTTAGGGGCCAAGGGGATTCAGCAGGCTGGAGCGTGAGGGTGAGACACTGCCTTCTCCCGTCCCTGGAAGCCAAAGTGAAGTGTGTCCTGCCTTCCCCTCCCCTCCCCTCCCCTCCCCTCCCCTCTCCTCCCCTCTCCTTCTCCCTTCTCTCCTTCTCCCTTCTCTTCTTCTCCTGCCCCCACTTGGCCTCACCCACCACATCTACCCCGGGCATCCTCTCTCTCTTGGTTCTGCTCCTTGTCTGGGTCAGCTTGGCCTGGGTTCGGGGTCCCAGCAAGACCTGGGCCTTCTCAGGAGACACTCTTTCTGTGTCTGCTAAACCGCAGTCGGCTGCCTTGCCGCTGAGCAGGGTTGTGGGGTGTGAAGACGTTGGAGGTTGGGTGCGGGGAGTATTGGGGAGTGTGTGGGGCCCTGAAGCCTGGGAAGGGCCCTCACAGGAGGAAGGAATGAGGTCATGTGGGTTTGAAGACAGGAGCAGCCACAGAGGCCCCAGGAAGAGAAAAGACAGCAAACAGCCCTGGATGGAGGACAGGGTGGTAGCGGAGGAGGCCCCGAGGGAGGTGTCCAGTGAATGTGGAGGAACCTTTGAAGGGTCAAGTGGAGTTGACAGAGCCCCTGTGCTGTGTCTGGATGCACTCTGAGCATATGGGGTGCTAAACAGGGACCAGGGATCGACCAGCTACAGAAATGAGCAAGACCAATGCTGGGACCAAAGTGTTCCCGGTAGAGCCCAGTAGCCCTGAAGGCCTAATCAGTGTCCGCTGCCCTGGCAAGTAAGTGGGTACTTGATAGTCTTCTAGGGGAGCCAAGGTAAGCTGTAGCCAACCCTGACAGGTGCCCTGCCTTGAGGCCCATGTGCCTCAGCCACAGGAAGCCTGCCAGCAGCCTCTCAGGCCCACAGGCATTGCACCCCAGAGCTGTGGATATCCACCGTGTGCCCCGGGTGTGGCAGAAACAGTGGCATCAGAATTTCACACAGGGTGGGTCTCTCCCCCTCTCCCTGCTGTTTCTCCTTAGGAAAGACAACCTGTTTCTTCTGGTGCTCAGCCATCCCTGTACAGTTGCCTCATAGGTACCGACCCAGCCAAAGAGAGGCAAACACATTCTGCTCAGCAGGGGATCCCCTGCTGGTGGTTCCCACAAATGACATAGTCCTCCAGACCAACAGCCCCTGAGCACACTCTCCGAATGGTACTGGCAAAGTCCTCTAGCTTAGGAACCCATGTGGCCCCGTGAGGGTATCAGAAGGGCAGGCATGGGAGGGGTCTGAGGAAGGACGGTTCTGCTCAGAGCAGCCCCCTGGGAGGTGGGCTTTGAGGGGCCAGCTGCCCAGGGTGAGGCCCAGATGTGACTGGTGAAGCAGTTGTAGTCATCCTGCTAGCTGCTCAGGAGTCGGGAAGCATTCCAAGGCATAGACATTGTTCATGCTGTTGTCTGTGTTCATGCCGAACTTGTCCTGACCCACTGAAGTCTCAGCGAAGTCTTGCTAGGGTTTTAAGTGGACACACAGGCTAGCCTATCGTCCAGCCACACCCAGCTACGGCAACGCCTCCTCTTTCTCTGTCCTCCTATGCCCATTCCAGTTTGTCCTGTGCCCCTAGTATGTGGCCGCTTCCAGTAGTCCCCGAAAGCCCCAGGGACTGTGGTCTTTCATGCCTGTCCCACTGTTTGGCATTCACAGTATATTATTAAGTCAATAAGTGATAGTTTTTGCCAACTTAATACAAAACAGTCATCTGGGAAGAGGGAACCTCAACCGAGAGGATGCCTGTGGGCAAACTGTGGAGGCATCTCCTTGATAAATGATTGATGGGAGAAGGCCCCGCCTACTGAGGGTAGTGCCACTTGTGGGCAGTGGGCCTGGGTTGTGTAGGAAAACAGTCTGAACAAGCCTTGGAAAGCAAGCTAGTGTCCCCCACGGTCTCTGCTTCGCTTCCTGCTTCCAGATTACTGCCTTGGGCTCCAGCCCTGGCTTCTCCCAATGATGGACTCTACCCTGTAAGGATAAAAACAAGCTTTATCCTCCACACGTTAGCTGTTCAACGTTTTATTTCTAGAAGCCAAACTAGAAACCTCGTGCGTGTGTGTGTGTGTGTGTGTGTGTGTGTGTGTGTGTGTGTGTGTGTGTGTTAAAGTGAATATATTAAGGTGAATGTGCCAGGAGCCAAATGAACCCAGAGTCAGCAGAGAATCCGAGAGAGGCTGCTGCAGGTTGGTGGGAACCTGGGACTGGTCGAGAGGGTGACATCTGTGTCTTGTAATGGCTGTGATACGCTCTTGTATTGTGAGGATTCTTGGTGGTGTAGGGAAGTGGGAAGCCCTTCCTAAGGTCTACACCCCTGCCCCCGTAGCCTCACTTGGAGTCATGCAGTAGTGACCCACTGAAGGCTCTGACAAGGTCCGTAAAGGAGGAAGCAGGCCAACATGATTGGTTCGCCCATGTTAGTGGCTGTCCCACAGAGCAGGAGCCACGTCAGGGCTTTAGTCCACAGAAGTTTCCAGTCTTGGGAGGTGGCCGTCATTGGGCCTCAGATCAAAGTGGATCCACACAAAGCGTGGCAGAGTGGCCCACCAGTGAGAAACTATACACGATCAGTGGGGCTGCAGCCCTCACCACCCCACCCTACTTGGCCATCCAGGGAGCGTCTCAGGCTGCCTGGCCCTTGGAGGTACCTATCCTGTAGAAATCCAGCCTCAGGAAGGCTAGCTCAGGAGCAGCAGAGGGAAGGGCAGCTGGATACATGCACACCTGGGCCAACAGGGCATTGGGGTGGGCTCAGAGCCAGGGGGCACAAAGTGTCCCAAGTTAGGCCCCAAGGCTCGAACAAGGCAGGAACTGGAGAGATGGAAAGTAAGGTGTGGTCCTAGGCACTTCCAGTTCCAGGCAAGGCTCTTGACCATCAATGCTGCCCTGTTTTCCTGTGCACAGGGCTTCGGGAGTGCAGAGTCTGGCTCTGAGTGTGAGGCCCAGGTGTGCCCATCTGCCCCTGGTTCTTCTGGCTGGCTTTGCGAAGGGTGCTGAGAATAGTGGGTTTCTAAGCTACTGTTTGGTCAGAACTGGGAGACAAATTGGTGATATTTTGTTTATGATCTAACAAAGCTTGCCGGAAGATCAGAGTGCAGAGCTAGCCACACTAGTTAGCCACAGAGGCCAGGCAGTGGTGGCACACACCTTTAATCCCATCACTCAGGACACAGAGGCAGACAGATCTCTGTGAGTTCAAGGTCTCCCTGGGCTACACGAGATTGAATCTGTTTAAAAGAGAAACAGAGCTCACACAAAGGTGATCTCAGCATTTGGGATCACACGCCTTTAATCCATCCCAGCACTATGGAGGTGAAGGCAGGAGTGATATGACTGGGCGGAGAGAGGAGTATCAGGCGGGAGGAGACGGGCTCAGGGCAGTCTGAGGCAGCAGTCTGAGGAGCAGAGCAGTCTGAGGATGCAGTCTGAGGACAGCATCTCCCCTTTGGCCTGAGCATTGGTAGAGGTAGAACTCTCTAGTGGTTGGCCACTTTGCCTCTTGATCTTTCCGCTTTAACCCCTGATAGCTGACTCTGAGTTGTTGTTGTTGTTATTTGTGCAACAAGGCAAGACTGAGCGGGCCAGAGATGGGGATCTGCAGTCCTTGTGTGACTGGGCCAGTGGCCCCTCTATTCTCAAGCCCCTTTAGCCTGGTTGCCCAGCCAAGCATGATCTGGAAGGACATCATGAATTTAAGGAGTTTGGAAGCTCCCAGCCCCTCTAACGGCTTCAGTCTCCCC